CTTCCCATCATTCATTTGGCGTACAGTTACATGTGGACAGCAGCCAACAGCAGCAGCAGCAGTATCACATCTCTGCTGTGTTTTTGCTCGGGTGTTAAAGCCTTACCTCGGTTCCCCTGCAGATCCTTTACAAGCTGGGGTGAACATCTCGCAGTCAGTGGATGGTGCAGCATTAGCAGGAGACCAGCTGCCAGAGCAGGAGAGGTTGAGTTTGTGTGTGTGAGAGAAGGAGGGAAGAGCAAGAGAGGAGAGGGAGTGCATATATAGGGGGAGGGTACAGCCGTAGAACGCAGGGTAGGACAGAATTATGAGATGAGAGACCTCAAGTAAATGTGTGTGTAGCCTATGTGTCTAAAAATGGGAGATGGTGTTACCATGGTGAGGGCTACGCCTTAACTCTCTAAGACCAGGGGATTAAAAGACAGCTGAGAGGGAAAGTCAGGTTAAAAATAAATGGCAGAATTCACTTCACAAAAGACAGACTAAACAGATCAAAGGAGAAAGGCATCATACATTGATATTAATATGGCGGAAGGGTGAGGTGAGGGGGTGCTGGAAAAGTTCAAAGGACATGATCAGGGGCAAGATTAGCTCTCGACTCGGATCATTAGCACCGACTGCAGCGTCACAATTGCCTCGACACAGGTTAAATACATAATCCCTCAGTGGCTGAAGACAACTACAAAAACAACATTTGAAAATCTAATTTGAGGTGCTGACATGGGAGGAAAGCAGAAACGCAAGCAGGAGACGTTGGGTTATAAGCACACTGTGACATATAAGGTTGTGTCTTCTTAATTGTAAGCCTTTTCAAACTGAGTATTTTAACTAAAATAGAATTTGCGTACAATAAACCCACACCACATCCTTAAAAAGCCTTTGGATAATCTTTACGAAATTATAAGGAAAGCAAAAATAGTTATATAAGATTTTTGCTACAAAAAATAACAACAATATTCATAATTCAAGGATTAATATACTACGTTTTTCTTGTTATAAATCTGTTCATCTTTGGTTTTCGGTACATTGAAATAAAACAAAATAATTATTTTTTGATTAAATACAAAGAAACATGATTTATATGTGGCATGGCTTGACCCCATGAGATTACATGAAAACCATTACAATAACTTGAGATGGCAGCTAAGCTTATGTGGGATTTATTTTCTACATCATGATTTAGATTTGGATACTGCTTCATTCAATTATGTGGAAATTGATTACCAAGATAAACGCTAGGAGACATAGGACCACTTACTTTTATATTTAGCTAAAGCTAGCTGTTGTCGTACCAGCTAGCTTTCATATGATAGCACTCTTGCTATAGTTATAGTTATTGAAAATATAGTCGTGTACAATTACATGTTGCAGGCTTCTCTCTGTGCTGTTTAAAACAGAAAATAAATAAACAAAAGCATTGACAAACACGGTATTAAAAAACAAAAATAGAAGGTTTGAATTGTTTGAATTTGCAAAGTTACAAAAGTGTACGGGTAAAGGTACAACATGTATAGACTTTGTTTATGTGTAAATTAATGGATATTTAAAATAGCAAAAATCAATTAATCCTTATTCATTTGCATTTGCAGTCCATGAGGGGTTGATGTGTGTGTGTGTGTGTGTGTGTGTGTGTGTGTGTGTGTGTGTGTGTGGGTGTGTGTGTGTGTGTGTGTGTGTTTGTGTCTGTCACAGTCCTAACAGTAATTGAATAACGTTAATTGAAGGTTATTTAGCTCACGCTTTTATCCAAAGCAACTTACATACACTTCTATATAATGCTACATGCACACAATAGTGACAGACTGGGAAGAACAGGAAGAAAACCTCCCGTTATTCTGACTCGGACAATGTTTTCTCATGGGTAACATCATTTACTTTGCCAAAATTAACAAGATTTGCAAGGTTGCGTATTTGAAGCAAGTGAAAATGTGTAAAGTGGTTTTTAATGCTTCCACTTGCCATTGTACCTGAGGTATCTTGTTTGAGTGCTCCGTCACTTGAAAATATCGGTGGTCGCCTTCAAGGGAATAGCGCCCGTCATGTTCTTCCCAGTGCTTGCCTGTTATGAGCAAATATTAAGTGGGTGCGCTTTGTAGAGAAGTACGACTGTTGGGTGAATAAAACCCTGCCATCACCTCAGGAGCGTGCTTGAAGGTATTTCAGTAAAGGTCACTGATTTTGACACACATTTTAGCTCCCAGAGAAACTGGCACTGACACACATATCCTCACAATAACCAACAAACACCATGGAATCATAGGAGCCTGTTCTTCTATAAAGCTGATCCCCATTGAAGTACAAAGGCTTCTGGATCAATCTCACAGTATGTGATTCATGTGCAGCTCAGAGGCCTCAGTGCTCCATTGATGACATATAAAGAAAAAGAGAAACATCGGCCACTCTAAACTGTCTGTTATTGATCTAGTTTCCTGCCAGTGGCTCTGACAACACACACAGAGTCTAACAGAGAGAGAAACACGGGGAGGAAAGGACAGATTGCTGGTTTAATTAAATCCTTCCCCCTAATGCACAGACCAAAGCAGACACAACTGAGCCCACAGGTGCATGCCTCTTTTTCATTGCCTCACACACGCACACATGCACGCACGCAGGCACGCACACACACACACACACACACACACACACACACACAGATCAGAGCGTCCTCCTTTGATTTGTCGTGTTTGTTTTGAGGTTGCGTCTTCTTATACACTAATCTCCGGGCAGTTTAGTGCTCAGAGAACCTTTGTCAATTCTAATTGGTCCTTCTGGTTGGAGGTTGCCCTGGAAACCAGTTTAGAAAGTGTTGGTTGGAGGTCTGCCAAAGGTTTGGATAAGATTGGCTATAACGGGCTTCTGTAAATGACACTGCATCGTTGACGCAAACAGGCATGCCAACACTATGTATGGTGACGTTGGATGTTTATCCACATTAGAAACATGTAAAACTCCAAACACAATAAAGTGCACCGTGCAAATCTCCCTTTGAGGATGACCAACATCCAAATAATTCATAACCTGAATAGTTAAGAGGATTTTGATGCTGTTAATTAGAGGAGCCTGGGTTGACGTTGGTGTGTGACAGCGGATACCACTGTTGCATGCAGTGTCTGGAATAGTAACAAGTCCCCCACAGGCCCAAATCTGTCTCCGTGAGCTTTAGTAACAAGCCACACGTCTGAGCCTTTGTCAGAGTGTGAGCTGATGGCACATGCCTTATGCTCAATGCAAGCTAAAGCTCATAGGCCCTTTTATATCTGTGAGAATTAAATTAAACCCCTCTGCAAACAAACCAGCACCACACTCATTTATATGGGCAACAATCTCTTCTTTACTTCTTGACACACACATAAAAAATGAATTATTTTTGCAATTAACTTCATGAATAAATCCCCATTTTCCTAATGATACATGTTTTTACTCTAACATATGATAGAATGTATGTTAATATTAATCAATAAACTGCCAGCTAATAAACCCACCATACTCCACAATATCAATACATTATACATAAGAGTAGTAGAATAGAACAATTCTGAATTGATTTGGAGTCGTAAAGTCACAATATGTAAGCTTTTTATCATTTAAAATAAAATTGTTTTATTCAGTACATATTTAATCTTTTGACATATTTATTTATAAATAGTTGTTTCTATTAAATAGAGGATGGAATACATTTTAATAAAGAGATTTGTCCTACGTGTACAGTCTAGTCGAATACAATGATTTAGAAAATCCAAATTTGAAAATGAAGATAATCAATAAAGATCAATAAAGAAAGTGCTTTATATTCATAACAATGTTGATCAAAAGTAGAAGGTGAACACCCCGTGATATGGAAGCTGTTGATAAATATAAAAGTTTCTCTAATAAAAATGCAAATCCTTCCTAAGAATATTTATATAAAATACATGGTGCACTTAGTTCCAATAAAGAGAGATATGTCATACTTGTTTAGTGTAGTTTTATAATGTTGCTTTAATTTTTAGTCATTGGGTCACATGATGTGGAAACTTTGAAAAATAGATTAGAAATAACTGCGGAATTTTCTTAATGTCCAAATAAAAACACCCTACTCTGAAGTCATTTTGGAGTCATATTGTCACATGACCAAGAAGCTTAATCAACAAAATGCTGTTTAACCTGCTGATTCTTTCTCAAAAATATTCATATCAAAATAGAAGCTGGACTAAAATCCAATTAAAAGATGGTACGTCTTATTCGTCCGCTGTAGTAACATGACACAAATGCTATTTAAAATAATTTGAAGTTTAAACAAATTTCAACACATTTATTATTACTTTTTTTTTCTTAAACATGTTCCCAAACAAATTGAACTTTTAAAGAGTTTGCAGCAAGGAATTTATAGGCATATTTGTTGTCACTTTGCACACTTAACAGATGGAGATTATTTTGTGATTAACAAATATTTAACCAGAGGTTCAGGCTTCATTTTCACTAGATGAAAATATTCATATAGTTACTTTAAAAAAAAAAAAATGTTTTACATAAAGTAGCAGGAAGTAATAAAACAGTTGCAAGTTTAAATGTGGATAGTGCCATTTTGATTAAGTAAACATTGCAGTAAATAGTTTAAATGCTTCTGTGCAACAATCCTGAAGGAGAAGTTGCTTTAATGAAAACCTCAGATTCCCAGGGCATCTTTCTGCACCTTACAACCCAGCAGAGTGTTTCCAGCCTCCACACACTCCGCCACACATGGAGCTGAAAACAAACACAGCACCAGTCATCACCAGAGGAGAACAAACTGTTAAAAACAACAGAACATCGATCATTGTTCTGGTTATTACCGTTCTGAGCACGGAGCCATGACACAGACTTCATAGCCAGAAGCTCCCACTCCTCCTGAGCATCCATCTTGAAACCATGAAGCCAGATCAGAGCCAGAATGGTGGCCCACACTTCCTTGTTCTCCTAATTTACCACAAAAAAACATTAAAACATGGATTAGAGATTAGAACCAACAGGCGAGAAAAAAATCCTTTATTTCTTTATTCTCAGGTCCCAAAATAATACTGAATTTCCTTGGTCATTTCACCTCTCATCTTCAGAACACAGCAGTAATGTCACCAAAACCTCCCTTTAAATTATAATCTATGCCTAATTGCTCCCTATTTGTTTAATAATGGAACATTGTTTCATATTTTCTCTCGGTTGAGTGCTTAATTATTTAGTAAACTCTTGATTGTTGCAGCAATTCGTTTTTTAAGTTCAATATTTTCGCTTTTAACAGTTACAAGACGATACAATAGCTAAAAAGCAGCAATCGCAGCCTTGAGCTGAAAACAAACATCTCCAAACATTTGGTCTTTCCAAACATTTGATCTACCTACGCTGTAAAATGTATTATCTCTTCAATTTACACACAGCATCTATTGCACGTCTGTCCATCCTGGGAGAGGGATCCCTCCTTTTTTCGATGGACTTTTATGAATCCCTCGTGGAGAAATTGTTTCTCTGCATCTGACCCATCCTAGTGTTAGGAGCAGTGTGCTGCCATTTTGAACGGCGCACGGGGAGCAGCGTAGGGAACGGTGCCTTGCTCAGGGACACCTCGGTAGCACTTGGTCTTGCCAGGACATTAACTGGTGACCTTCCAGTTGCCAAGCCAACTCCCTATCGACTTCGCCACCACCGCCCTCCTCTGTTGCTCTCCCTGAGGTTTCTCCCATTTTCCCCTTTAAACTGTGGGTTTTCTCCGGAAGTTTTTCCTTGTACAATGTGAGGGTCTAAGGACAGAGGGTGTTGTATTGTCATACTGATATTCTGTACAAACTGTGAAGTCCACTGAGACAAATGTAACATTTGTGATATTGGGCTATATAAATAAACATTGATTGATTGGTTGATTGAGCAGCAACCAGATGTAATTATTTTAAATGTGTTTCCATCATTTTAATAACACCATTCCTCTTTATGTATAATGCTATTTGGAACTCACTCATCAAGAGTTCCTCCTAACACATTAGATAATCTTTCCAATGGCAACTTGGACATACATTTTATTTTTTGGAGTGCTTAAGTATTAAGAGAGCTCTTTATTCTTGCCGCGATTAAATAATAATCTCACACATTTCAGTTTAAACCAGGGGTGTCCAAATGCGGCCCGTTGTCCATTTCTAATTGGCCCTCAGAAAATTCTTAAAGTATAATGGTATGGCCCCCACCTGAAACTTGTGCTTGTCTTATATTGCACTTCTTAAATATATATGTGAGCCTATATTACACAGTAGTTTTCATGTGTTAATAAACCCACTTTTCAAATACATTCAATCAATTAGAGCTTAAAATCTTAGTTTGATTTCCATAACAAGCTTTAAATAGACCCTTCATATTTCCCCTTAAGCAATCTGAGGAGTCTGTTTTAAGGGATGAACTGCAGGATAACTGAAACCCTCTGGAGAGCTGTGATGTTTCTTAAATCATATTCAAGTAGAAAGCATGATTGACCTACATTTGATTGATTTTGCTGAATGATAACATAACCTATGAGGCAGTATACGTCTAGTGAGGGGCCCCGCCCATTGTATGTGTTTCTGTATGTGGCCCTCAGTGAAAACTGTTTGGACACCCCTGGTTTAAACAAAGTGAAAGAACTAGATGAGCAAATAGTAACCCACCGATGCAGGTTTTGTGTTTTCCACCTCCTCGCTGGTCTTTCCCACAGCAGCAGCCAGAGCTGGATCCAGCTCCCAGCAGCCGGACGCCTTCTGCAGGGAGACCAGCTGCAGCAGAGGGTCTCTGGGAGGCTGCAGGGGCTCAATGTCCAGGGAATCGTTGGATGATAAGCTACATAGGACGCCACCTTCATGTTCAAAAGACACAAGAACTAGCTTAGAAATGTAATGAAATGCCATGAAAGTATAAATGATAGCCACAAAAAAAATCAAAAGGTAGCACAAGATGAAATGGAAAACAATCACCTCTAAAGAAGAGTGGGATTATGTGAAATAATAAATATGCGTGGCTATATGTGTGTTTTTGGTGGTTGAATATATTGATCTGTCAACGTCGTTATCTGAAGTGTTGAAGCGATCCTATTGACTGTTTTTGTCTCTTTTCTTTTTATAATCTAATGAGTGTTATTACTCTTATTTTATCTTATTATTGTATTTTACTTTGTCTTAAAATGGGAATGTAATCTGACCCCCCTACACTGTTGTTGTGTCCTTGTCCTAAAGCTAGCAAGAATATAAACAATGTTGTTAAAAGAGGAATGCAATATTCACTGTACATACTGAGATAAGTAAATGGTTACTTACCTACGGAGCTGTCCATTGGTGCACATGAGCTTGCTTCCATCACCCCATAGAAAACAAAAACAATAATGAGTCTCTTGCAAATTATATTTGAATAAACTGGCAATTACACAAAGTTTGCAGAAGCAACAATTATCTATATATGTTTTAGATATTTACTTAGACCATAGGGACTAGTTCCAATGTGAAGCTAGTGAGAATGTAAACAATGTCTTATGGCTAATGTTCACAGTAAATACTGAGATAAAAAAAATATGTGTGATGAGAAGAGGCTTTGGTTTCTTACCTGTTTTCCTCATGGGCATTGAACAGTTCTTCATTCCTATCATTCCACAGTAAAACAAAAATTGAATCCCTGGTCTCTTGCCAATGTCTTTCAAGTCATTGGCTGATTACACAAGACTTACAGAAGGAACAATTATCTATATACATTTCACATATTTAATATATATATATATATTTGTTTGGTGGTTGGATGTATTGATCTGTCAACCTAGTTATCTGAAGTGTTGAAGCGATCCTATTGACTGTTTCTGTCTCTTTGTTTTATAATCTTATGAGTGTTATTACTCTTATTTTATTATTGTATTTTACTTTGTTGTAAAATGGGAATGTAATCTCCCCTACACTGTTGTTGTGTCCTAGTAAGCTAGTAAGAATGTAAACAATGTTGTTAAAAGAGGAATGCAATATTAACTGTACATTATGAGATAAGTAAAAGGTTACTTACTTCCGTAGCTGTCCATTGATGCGCTTGGGCTTGCTTCCATCATTCCATAGAAAACAAAAACAATAATGAGTGTCTTGCAAATGTCATTTGAATAAACTGGCAATTACACAAAGTTTGCAGAAGCAACAATTATCTATGTATGTTTTAGATATATACTGTATTCCAATAGACCATAGGGACTAGTTCCAATGTGAAGCTAGTAAGAATGTAAACAATGTCTTATATCTAATGTTCACAGTAAATACTGAGATAAAAAAGATCTGTGTGATGAGAAGAGGCTTTGATTTCTTACCTTGTACACTCATGGGCATTGAACAGCTCATCATTCCTATCATTCCACAGTAAAACAAAAAATGAATCCCCGGTCTCTCGCCAATGTCTTTCAAGTCATTGGCTGATTACACATGATTTACAGAAGCAACAATTATTTGTATACGTTTCACATATGTACTGTACTCACAGATGTCAACAGAGGAACATAACAAATACTCAAATATACACATGCAATTCATAAGGCTTACCATTTTGGCAGAGTATATACAATGTGCAATCAATGGACTGTTTGAAAGCTTTTTACATTTTTTAATATTAACTTAATTTTTTACAAGCAAAAGAAAATTGAGCTACTCAAATGCAAACATTTCGCAAATCACTTGAATGCTTGCGTGTAAATATAAATGTTTTAGAAAGAAACTGCAATAGGTGTTTATATTTAGAAATAAACCCACAGCATAAGTTTTACATGTAAATCTTTTACAAAATAAATGTATGATTCAGTGTTAATACTGAGAAAGATAAATACAATTACAGATACATTATTACATAATAACTGTAATTATAATAACACAGTGTGTTGAAAGTGGCTTGTTACTTACTTGGCATAGGCCTACCCATCATTCGACCACCAGATGGACCACCTCCACACATGGCCATCATTAGCACTTCCGGGGAAAAAAAACATAAATAATGTAAGTCCCAGTCTTTTGCAAAAGTCACTTCAATTACTGGCTGATTTTACAATATTTCCAAAAAGCAACACTTTTCAATAAACCATGGAATAAATATATTTACTGTAAAAGCACAAAAAGTCAAGGGAACGATTAAGAAAAAATAGCAAACTAGTATTTATCCTCCATTTTCTTGAATGTTTTGTGTGTGCTCCCAAAATACAAAACTTTCCAGAAGCACCTCAATAGAGCCTTGTTTCTTACTGGGTGTTGGAACATTTCGGCGCACCAGGGGTCCTTGAATCGTCTCTCCATTGTCTTTTTTGACAGCAATGAAGGCAGTGAAGGCGCTGCTCACTCCTGATTGGACGCTGAGCTCCACCACCTTCTTCTTCACTCCTTCATCTGGCTGTCCTCTGCGCTCCATCTCCTCCATCTCCAGGGAGCGAATCAGAGTCCGAGCAGCCAACCTGTGGACCGTTAATCTGCGGACAGGAGAGAGTAAACATCGATCAAGTATGAGTCCAACATGCAAGTTTATTTAAAGACACACAGGTCTTAAACATAGGGTTCATGTATTATCTGCAATCAGAATCAGTTGATTTAAAATGGCATCTCTAAAGCAAAGGAAATAATGTCCTTCCAATACAAATGTCAGGCAAATATTATGTAATTAATTGTAGTTATGTCATGCACTTAAGGCGCAATGCTGTAATACATATCTTTATATACTTAATTGGGGCAAATTGCATGATACAAGACAAGTCATACAAATCAATTGGGGGACAAAAAGATCATTAGTGTCATTTATCCAATTCAGGAGATGTTTTTACTATTGCAACTGCTCCAACATCCCTCGTTTTTTACTTTAGCAAAATGGCTTAAACATTCACATTCATCATAGATATTATAATCTAAATTCACAGATAATAATAAGTCTGAATAATGCCTGTTTTACCCAGAGTCCGCTGCAGGTTTGAGGCTGAAGTGGAGCTTGTTCTGAGAGGGATGCCCTGCCAGGCTGTACTTCACCGTCACAGAGCCCTCTGCTGCCTCTGGACTCTGAGAGAGCATCACAGTGTTGGTGACGGTCAAATAATACTCAAAGTCATACATTATTTCTGTTTGGCTTCAACATTTACAGTTTGTTTCGATTACATTGAATTGCACCCACTCTAAGTGTGCACTGTGACACTACTGAGCAATGACAGATGGAACTAAAAGTTAATATGCAGCACCACAGTGAGCAGCACACCCATGGATTATCGTAAGGTATAGCACAATATATATATATATATATATATACAATATATGTGTCTTGTGAATTGACTTAATAGTATCGTTATTAATTTTCACTCTTAACAACCTCATAGTTTGTATTGTTAGGGCACATTACATTTGCACCATGAATATTCTTGAAATGCATTTGGTCTAGAGAGAAGCTTTATTGGTCCTTCATATGAAGAAGAATCTAAAGGATGGGATGGGGCTGCACTTACCTGTCCAGTGAGCTGGGCATAAATCAGTGACCTTTGACCCTGGAAAAGTAAAGTGATTGGTGGTGAGAGAACAGTGACAGAGACTCCCTTCGGCAAATCCCACTTCACTGAGATATCCACCACAGCTGGTTGTAGAGCAAAACGCAACGACTGCATCACCTGATGAGAAAATGTAATTAAAAGAATTAGGGACAGCCACTTGGTTCTTAATAAATGTATTTAAATACATTTGTAATGATGTCATCCGTCCAAATTGCATCTTTTCTTTAAACGTATATAATGACTGTAAAGTCTTACTTTGGGTTGCATCCGGTCAGTGCCGGTGATGAACTGAGCGTGACCTCCTCCTTCTTTGGCCAACCCATTGATAAGAGCAGAGCTGGCCCCTTCCCCAATCCCGAAAGAGAAACACCTACACAACACAAAGCATTAGAACATGGGACATATTCTGTGGATTCTGTGATCGTTTGCTGTGTTTTGGTGCGTTCACCTGTGGGAACCTGAATTTTTCTTCACCAGATTGATTACTTCTTTGGTGTTCCTCACTTCTCCATCAGTGAAGACAAATAGCTAAGGAGGAGAGTTTACATAGCACTTAAAGAAACATAGCATCACACCCAAAAATGTGCAGCATGTGTTGAGTCATCCACTTTATTCTCTGAAAGCCTTGTTAGATTGCTGTTTTAGCAACATACGTGGTTTAAACGGTGAATTGCAAAGAACAAGGTGTGGCTGAATGTGTGGGGAAATATGTTCACAACCTGTCTAACGTGTACGTGTGGGGTGTATTACTTGTCTAGGTTGATTGGGAATGCAGGCATGGCTGTAAATGTCTTTGAGGGGCTTCAGGATCTCAGTTCCTCCCAGATTTGCTTCCATCCCTCCAACTATCTTCAGAGCCTCTTCCATGGTCTCCTGGCTGTACTCCACACTCTTACTGCAACCAATGCGCATATTCATGCACAACCATTAACACCAAAGACAGGAATGAATGTGTTGGGCAATAGTGAGTGACTTACGGGAAGATGTGTTCATGACTGGACCCAAAACTGTAGATGTTAAAAAAGCAGCCCATTGGTAGACTCTTCAACAGGAGCAGCAGAGTATCCTGAAGAGAGGAGAGAATATTTGGTAACGCCACTATGTCTAAAGGACTGATTATACCATACAAATAAAAGATAATGCATACCCTGGCACTCTTAATACGGTCCCTCTGCATGCTGCCAGATCGATCCAATAAGAACACAAACTCTCCACATGAGGCGAGTGAAGACATCACAGCCTGGGGGAACTCAGGGTACAGACTCAGCATCACCACTGGATCCCCCATCAGAGTGCCTGAAACACAGGAGAGACAAAATTAATGACCACCACCACAAGAAACTCAAAATAAAAATGTTGAATAATCTCTATTGTCATTATACTGAGGTATAATGGAAAAGACACAAGAGCATATCAAGGCATTTTCCTTTGGTGGATGACAATGGATGAAGGATGACACCTTCACTAAAGTGTACTCACCAGGCTTGGCAGAGGTCTGTCCTGCCTCCACCACAGCTGTGGGCTGGTGGGCATCTTTGTAATAAATCAGAAGTTCAACATCTCTGTCAAACTTGTGTCCTGCAGCCAGCTTGACCTGCAGGTCCAAAAACACACTGATTATCTGAGTAAAGAGGAAGAACCACATTATGGAAACATCAGCACTCTACCCACCGTGGCCTGGCTCTGCTCTGTGTTCAGATACTCCAGAGGGTCCAGGGGACAGTTGGACTCTACTTTAGAGACAGGACGAGGAGAGGACACTCGGGCAGAGAAAGACAGACTGTAGGGCACCAGAGAGGCGGGAACAGAGGTCACCTGGACACTGCCACCTGCACTACCTGTAAACAACCAGAGACACGTTAGGAATGCTATTTTAAAACAAGTGCAACTGTGAGTGACAGAGGGAGGTCAGAGAAAGAAAATTGCAATTACCAACTGAAAGACTTGATATGACTTTAAACATGCCAACTATTATATTAAAAATAAATGTATGTTTTTGAATAAGCTTATTCTATAGTAAATATGCATATATGGTCATGTTATAGCTGTTTCAATTTATGTATACCCTACTATTAATTAATTAATTACAATAATAATATATTATACATGACTTAATCAGTTTTTCTTTTCATTCTAAGTTTATTGCTATTTTATTCCTGTTGGCCGTTTCATTTATTACTGATAATAAAACCAAAGGAGAGCATAAGCATTTTTATGGCCACACTTCAGGACTTTTGGGGAAGTCGCAAGACAATACAGTCAACAGCAGGTGATAGGAAATATTGTGTTGGCAATCTTTTTTTAAACAGTAGACTGTTGCATGTGACTGTTGCAATGAACCCCTCTGTATGAACAGGTATAGTGTACATTACACTAAAGCTTAAAGGCTTCTGATGAAAGTGTTGGCTGGTTTTCCTACCCTGTGGATGGTAGCGAGGGTTGAGCACAGCAGGCAGAACAAACCTCAGCCCTTCATCAGCCTGCACAGCCAGCTCAGTGACGTACTCCAGCCTGATGGAAGCGCTCTCTCCTGGAGGCAGACTGCCCACACTCAGAGAGAAAATATCTGGACTCTGATCACTCTCCTCCAACAGGAAGGCCTGCTGACCGGAGCTCAGAGCGTCATCGTACTCCTCACGAGCCTGGGGTACAGAGGACACTTTGAGCAACATTCACTGGGTTCACTGAGTTGTTAAGCTCCATGGTAGTGAGTGTTTCTCCAGCTCACCTTCTGTTTCTCCTTCACCTCAGCCACGATCTGTGTCTGTCCAATCGTAGCACTGAAATGACAGACAGCAGCATCTCCAGGCATAGGGAAGACAAACACAGCCTCCAGTGGTTTGTCCTCCTTGTTCTCATAGTTCAGAGTGGACACCACTGTAGCCACATGGTCCCTCACCTCCAGCTCCACCTCCACACTCTTCAGAGGAACTGACGAGAAACAAGATAAATTGTGTCAAGTTTCCTAAACTCCTTGTCCATAAAATTGCATGTTCCTTTTTTATGAAAAGCTCCTTTGCTGCCCACATGTGGCACAAACACACACTTGCATGGACAACTTTTTCCAAGTGTAGACACACCTACTAAAATAACCTTATTAAAGTAAAAGAACAAACGAATTCTTACACACAGATATGAATGATTAAACACACTGAAGTTCTCTGATATGTTAACTACTGATTGCCTGTCAAAATAGGACCTATGTAGAAGTAGAAAAGTATGACAACAATTCAGAGGTATCTAAGTACATTTACTCAAGTATTCACATAAGTACAATTTTGAGAGACTTGTTCTTTACTTGAGTATTTCCATTTTATGCTACTTTGTACTTCTACACCACTACAATTCAGAGGTGAATCGTGTGCTTTTGCTCCACTACATTTATTTTGTACCTTTAGTTACTTTACAGATTTGAATTAATAATGTGAAATATAATCAACTCTTAAATCAGACTAGTTACACCTGGAGTAAATTCACAATATACCCTGCAGTATACACAGTCATTAAAACTAGCTGCACATTTACCAGCTTTTATAACATATTAATGCATCAATAATTATAATCAAAACATATAATATATATTATTCTGAAATGGACCAAACTCTCATAACTCTTTACCTGGTTCCTTCCCGGAAGTGAGCAGACCACAGCAGATCATTCTTGTATCTATGAGAGGGGGGGATAGGCAGTTAGATTTCCTGTAACGTTTCTATTTGCAGCTAAATTATCAAAGATCTTCTTTACAAAAATCACATTTTAAATTTTTTAGATTTTCGTCAAATTTGTATTAGTTTGCTTGTAAGCTTAATTGCAATTTAAACAGGTATTTGATGTGCGCCGATGGAGCGTGCTGTCATATCAACATCGTTATATTTGACAAGTGGCTTTGTGAAATTAATGGCTCAATAAAACGTTGTCTGGTCGTCAATGATTATTCTAAAGTTATACGAATACAAAACTCTCATGAGAACTATGCTGTTGTTATTTTTTTTAATTAGCCTATATGTGAAACTAATTTCAACACCTGTCAATAATCTAAAAACGGTTACGCTGCAACCAGCGACATATTCACTGTCCACATTTACACAAATCCTTTACTGTGAGAACATTCTTATTTGATTTAGTCCAGACCTCCCGGAAGTGTTTATTTATTTGTATAACTTGTTTGTTGCTTGACAACATTTGTTTTATGCCAAATTACATTTAACACGCTAACAATCTGTTGGCCTATTGTTTGATATTTGAAGACGTGTCTACCTTAGAAGAGAAGGGTGCACGCGCCTGGACAATCCTCGGTGTTTTCCTCCTGCGGAAATGTGGAGGAGTTTACTGTAAATCCTGAGTCACACAGAGGTGGGCTTGATTCATGACGAAGTATCGGGCGGAGTTTAGATACGACTTCAGTTTCTATGGAGCGAGAGTGAGCGAGCGGTGAATATGTTTTCTGGAAATGAAACGAGGTATGAAGGTAGATATGGTGCAATATGCGAGAGCGTGTAAAACCTGATGTGAGCACTTGCATAAAAAAAATCTGAGCTTGTGTGCATACATTTACACTTGTATAAAATATCCACGTAACTGTGAACCAAATGTACACTTGTATAAAATATCCACGTAACTGTGAACCAAATTTGAAGTCACAGAAGAAAAAAAAAGTTTTGTAGCTTGTAGAAAAAAATGAACTTAGTGATGAAATGTTCACTTGCAGAAAAATACATATTTTTAAAATATATTTTCCATTACAACTGCAACTTTATTTATTACAACCTCTCAAATCAGTCATTACAACTTGACGAATCTGCTCTGTGGCAGTATAAATCGACGAATCTGCGGTCTTGACTTTTGCAACACTTCTTGCGATCAATGTGTCGCAAAAGTAATTTTCACCTGTAGATGTGGGGGGAGGGAGGGGGGTTGGAGCGAAGGGGCGGAGCTATCAGAACAACGAGGCTGAATTGATTTGGAGTCGTAAAGTCACAATATGTAAGCTTTTATTATTTTAATTTTGTATTACATATTTAATCTTTTCACATATCCAGAAGGTTTTTTATTTATAAATAGTTGTTTCTATTAAATAGAGGATGGAATTCATTTTAACGAAGAGATTTGTCCTACTTTTTCAGTCTAAAACAATGCTGCATTGATTTAGAAGCTTAATCAACAAAATGCTGTTTAACCTGCTGATTCTTTCTTAAAAATATTATCAAAATAGAAGCTGGACTAAAATCCAATTAAAAGATGGTACGTCTTATTCGTCCGGTGTACTAATGATATCTGGTATGGATTGGGGACCACAGGGACACATGACACAAATGCTATTTCAAAATCATTTGAAGTTTAAACAAATTTCAACACATTTATTATTAGTCTTTTTTCTTTAACATGTTCCCACACAATTTGAACTTTTAAAGAGTTTGCAGCAAGGAATTTATAGGCATATTTGTTGTCACTTTGCACACTTAACAGATGGAGATTATTTTGTGATTAACAAATATTTAACCAGAGGTTCAGGCTTCATTTTCACTAGATGAAAATATTCATATAGTCACTTAAAATAACCATGTTTTACATAAAGTAGCAGGAAGTAATAAAACAGTTGCAAATTTAAATGTGGATAGTGCCATTTTGATTAAGTAAACATTGCAGTAAAGAGTTTAAATGCTTCTGTGCAACAATCCTGAAGGAGAAGTTGCTTTACTGAAAACCTCAGATTCCCAGGGCATCTTTCTGCACCTTACAACCCAGCAGAGTGTTTCCAGCCTCCACACACTCCGCCACACATGGAGCTGAAAACAAACACAGAACCAGTCATCACCAGAGGAGAACAAACTGTTAAAAACAACAGAACATCGATCATTGTTCTGGTTATTACCGTTCTGAGCACGGAGCCATGACACAGCCTTCATAGCCAGAAGCTCCCACTCCTCCTGAGCATCCATCTTGAAACCATGAAGCCAGATCAGAGCCAGAATGGTGGCCCACACTTCCTTGTTCTCCTAATTTACCACAAAAAAACATTAAAACATGGATAAGAGATTAGAACCAACAGGCGAGAAAAAAATCCTTTATTTCTTTATTCTCAGGTCCCAAAATAATACTGAATTTCCTTGGTCATTTCACCTCTCATCTTCAGAACACAATTGCTCCCTATTTGTTTAATAATGCAATATTGTTTCAAATTTTCTCTCGTTTGAGTGCTTAATTATTTAGTAAACTCTTGATTGTTGCAGCAATTCGTTTTTTAAGTTCAATATTTTCATTTTTAACAGTTACAAGACGATACAATAGCTAAAAAGCAGCAGTCACAGCCTTGAGCAGCAACCAGATGTAATTATGTTATATGTGTTTCCATCATTTTAATAACACCATTCCTCTTTATGTATAATGCTATTTGGAACTCACTCATCAAGAGTTCCTCCTAACACATTTGATAATCTTTCCAATGGCAACATGGACATACATTTTATTTTTGGAGTGCTTAAGTATTAAGTGAGCTCTTGATTCTTGCCGCGATTAAATAATAATCTCACACATTTCAGTTTAAACCAGGGGTGTCTAAACTGCTGCCCGTTGTCTATTTCTAATTGGCCCTCAGAACATTCTTAAAGTATAATGGTATGGCCCCCACCTGAAACTTGTGCTTGTCTTATATTGCACTTCTTAAATATATATGTGAGCCTATATTACACAGTAGTTTTCATGTGTTAATAAACCCACTTTTCAAATACATTCAATCAATTACAGTTTAAAATCTTAGTTTGATTTCCATAACAAGCTTTAAATAGACCCTTCATATTTCCCCTTAAGCAATCTGAGGAGTCTGTTTTAAGGGATGAGCTGCAGGATAACTGAAACCCTCTGGAGAGCTGTGATGTTTCTTAAATCATATTCAAGATTGATTTTGCTGAATGATAACATAACCTATGAGGCAGTATACGTCTAGTGAGGGGCCCCGCCCTTTGTATGTGTTTCTGTATGTGGCCCTCAGTGAAAACTGTTTGGACACCCCTGGTTTAAACAAAGTGAAAGAACTAGATGAGCAAATAGTAACCCACCGATGCAGGTTTTGTGTTTTCCACCTCCTCGCTGGTCTTTCCCACAGCAGCAGCCAGAGCTGGATCCAGCTCCCAGCAGCCGGACGCCTTCTGCAGGGAGACCAGCTGCAGCAGAGGGTCTCTGGGAGGCTGCTGGGGCTCAATGTCCAGGGAATCGTTGGATGATAAGCTACATAGGACGCCACCTTCATGTTCAAAAGACACAAGAACTAGCTTAGAAATGTAATGAAATGCCATGAAACTATAATATATGGCCACAAGTAAATACTTAAACCAAAGACAATTTATTTCCGAAAGAATGATAGCCACAACAAAAATCAAAAGTTAGCACAAGATTAAATGGAAAACAATCATCTCTAAAGAAGAGTGGGATTATGTGGAATAATAAATATGCGTGGCTATATGTGTGTTTTTGGTGGTTGGATGCATTGATCTGTCAACGTAGTTATCTGAAGTGTTGAAGCGATCCTATTGACTGTTTTTGTCTTTTTATAATCTAATGAGTGTTATTTCTCTTATTTTCTCTTATTATTTAATTTGACTTTGTCTTAAAATGGGAATGTAATCCCCCCTACACTGTTGTTGTGTCCTTGTCCTAAAGCTAGCAAGAATGTAAACAATGTTGTTAAAAGAGCTTGGTCAGTCTCTTGCAAATGTCATTTGAATAAATGGGCAATGACACAACGTTTGCAGAAGCAACAATTATCCATATCTTTTAGATATTTACTGTATTCCAATAGACCATAGGGACTAGTTCCAATGTGAAGCTACACTGAACAAAAATATAAACGGGTCCGAAAACCAGTCAGTATCTGGTGTGAGGGGTAGGGTTAGGGTTAGGGTAATGTTGTGAATCGAGTGGCCTGTGTTCGTCGTCCATAACATACGCCTGCCCATACCATAACCCCACCACCACCATGGGCCACTCGATTCACACACAACCCTAACCCTAACCCTACCCCTCACACCAGATACTGACAGGTTTTCGGTCCCCCCCAATAAAGCAAAAATGCACGTTTCAGAGTGGCCTTTTATTGTGGCCAGCCTAACCCCCTAATCGCACCAGGAGCGTCTGCGCTGCGTTGCGCTGCGTTGCGCTGCGTTGCGCTGCGTTGCGCTGCGTTGCGCTGCGGCTGCAGCGTTTTTAGCGATCGCGGCCACTCTAGTCAATGGGTGCTATTCCACCAGACACGCTGCGCCGCGGCTCGAAGCATCCCAGAAGCTCCTCGCCGCAAGGAATTTCTAAAATATAGGATGAATCCTATTTTTGACGCGGCGCAGGCAGGAAGTGGAATGTTCATCCAACAACTGCGAGGCTGCACACAAGACGCTCCGCTTCCGCAACGTTTTGAAATGCGCCTGGTGGGTTAGGACGCAGGAGGAGGTCGCAGCGCTCCTGGTGCGATTAGGGGGTAAGGCACACCTGTGCAATAATCATGCTGTCTAATCAGCATCTTGATATGCCACACCTGTGACACCACTGTAGCCACATGGTCCCTCACCTCCAGCTCCACCTCCACACTCTTCAGAGGAACTGACGAGAAACAAGATAAAATGTGTAAAGTTTCCTAAACTCCTTGTGCATAAAATTGCATGTTCATTTTTTATGAAAAGCTGCTTTGCTGCCCCCATGTGGCACAAACACACACTTGCATGGAAAACTTTTCCAAGTGTAGACACACCTACTAAAATAACCTTATTAAAGTAAAAGAACGAACAAATTCTTACACACACACAGATATGAATGATTAAACACACTTAGTTCTAAAAGAAAATCAAATGCGGTGGATGAAGTTCTCTGATATGTTAACTGCTGTTTGCAGTGACGTGCGGTGAGGTTCATGGCTGGTGAGGCACTGACTCTTTCAGAGTCAGATTTACAAATATTATATTTTGACCTTAATCGAAATATTCGGTTATTTTCAAAAGCTTTTTTAGTCTGATGTTTCGATTCATTTTAAACAGACTGTTCAACAAAAGGATACCCAAAATCTAAATATTGGATTGTTCTTTCTTAGTAAGATCCCATTTTCATTACAATTGTGGTCTTACCTTGACTTGAAGATGAAGTCCATGCTATCCTTCTGGACAACAATCTCTATCACTTTTTTGTAAAAATCCTCCTTATCTTCCTCTAGTTTCAAAAGTCTAGTTTGTTGTTTGCGTCTACCGTCTCTGCGTAGAATAACAGTAGCAACAAGAACCTGTGGGCTCACTTGCGCCCCCTTCAGTGCGGCAGAGGTTATGGCTGCCTCCCCTGGTGCTTTTTTCATTGCCGTTGTATGATGAGACCAGCGAGCCTAAATATCATATACACGTGAAATAAGTTATTTAGAGACTATGGATGGCGAGGATAAATGTAATAAAGGGATCTACAAACATTACATTGGTGACCTACAGTGAGATGGTGCAGGCATGCGCTTAGGGTCCGCTTTCCAGCCAGTTTCTGTGGGGTGACGAATTCTGAGGTGAGGCAGATCTCATCTGTGCCTCACTTTACCCCACAGTAACTGGCTTGAGCGCGCTCACAAAATAAGTGCCCGCGCTAAATTAGTGCCCGCGCTCCAGCCAGTTACTGTGGGTTTACGAGAGGCAGAGCTCGTCCCTGCCTCACTTCTCATCGCTACCCGTAGTTGTAGCGGAGCTCGGCAAATATGTTGATTTTGACTATAAAAAGCGATTGGAATCATACATAAATCACATTTACAACATAGATCAGTGGAGACATTTTATTATTATTACTATTTAGTTTTTCTTTAGTTGTTTTTCCGTTACATTGGAGTATAACAGGTGAGGCTCTGCTTCCCCTGACTGCACGTCGCTGGCTGTTTGCCTGTCAAAATATAACCTATGTAAAAGTAGAAAAGTATTAAAACAATTCAGAGGTTACTAAGTACATTTACTCAAGTACTCACTTAAGTACAATTTTGAGAGATTTGTTCTTTACTTGAGTATTTCCATTTTATGCTACTTTGTACTTCCACACCACTACAATTCAGAGGTACATCGTGTACTTTTGCTCCACTACATTTATTTTTTACCTTTAGTTACTTTACAGATTTGGATTAATAATGTGAAATATAATCAACTCTTAAATCAGACTAGTTACCTGGAGTACATTCACAATCTACCCTGCAGTATACACAGTCATTCAAACTAGCTGCACATTTACCAGCTTTGATAACATATTAATGCATCAATAATTATAATCAAAACATATAATATATATTATTCTGAAATGGACAAAACTCTCATAACTCTTTACCTGGTTCCTTCCCGGAAGTGAGCAGACCACAGCAGATCATTCTTGTATCTATGAGAGGGGGGGGGGGGGGGTAGTCAGTTACATTTCCTGTAACGTTTCTATTTGCAGCTAAATTATACTTCAAAGATCTTCTTTTAAAAAATCACAACAAACAGCCAAAGACATTTAAATACTTTTAGATTTTCGTCAAATTAGTATTAGTATGCTTGCTTAATTGCAATGTGTACTCAGATCTTGTACTTTAGAAAAAGTAGAAGTACCAGAGAGTAAGAATACTCTGCTCCAAGTAAGTCCTGCATTCAAAAATGTTTTTCAAAGTATTCGCATCAGAATATACTCAGTAGGCCTACTCAAATTGGTCCAATAATACATGTGTTGATTATAATTATTGATGCATGAATGTGTTTATCAAAGCTGGTAAAAATGCTCTTTTTAATGACTTTGTTTACTGCAGGTAGATTGTGAATTTACTCCAGGTGTAACTAAAGTCTTATTTAAGGGTTGATTATATTTCACATTATTAATCGAAATGTGCAATAACTCAAGGTATTAAATAAAGTGGAGTAAAAGTATCCCTTTTACCTCTGAATTGTTGTGAGGTAGAAATACAAAGCAGCAAAAAAGTGAAATACTGAAGTATCTAAAATGTGTACTTAATTAAGTAGAGTACTTACAAGAACCGCCCAACTGAAGGAAACCATGTCCTACCATGTCAAATTAACCCCTGCTTTATCTAATATGTGAAGAAGCAGAGTACACAAATTAACACAAATGACTGTATGCTGCACATCAGCCTGTGAGACAGTCCTTGTCTCCTTGCTTCCTGGCTTTCTATCTAAACTCCTTACTATCAATATGAGTCAGGAAACATGTGAACGCAGAGTCTTAGTCAAACAGCTGGCAGCCAAAAGCCAAAAGTGGCATGTGTTAAATTAGTAGGTTTTTTGAGGGAAGATGAAATAATAAATACGATTTTGCCAGTATTTAAATTCAATGAACACAGATTGAAGACATTGCAGGATAAACTCCAAACAGGTAATGAAATCAAGGAACAACCGTGGCCCATTTGTAGTGTTTTTATTAGATTTGAAGGAAATACTTAGCACACCCCATATTTGTCATTGCATGTAACATGGATACAGTAAATGGTTATATTGTTAGCAACTCAAATAAGGCTGAGAAAGGACGTACAACAGGAAATCATTTTGTTGAATGCTCAAAAACTATCCCTTGGTTTGAAGGACAAAGCCTCAACATATGTTTTGAGCCTATGGTAGTACTCGTATAGTATTTAGTACAAACTATAAACAGACAAGCAGTAAAATAGTTCAGCTTTTTAAAAACATGATGAAATAATCCCTTTATGAGGATACTGTGTCCAAAGACACTCACTGGTTTACTCATGTATTATTACCTCAATGTGGTGATCAATTGAACTCTTCTTAATCATAATTTAGCTTGATCAACAACAATTGTACTTTTTGCATCTATGAATCTGACTGAAATTGATGCAGTGCACTTCATATTAAAAGGAGAGTGATTTAAGACAGATGAGGGAGAGGCAAGCTTACATCCACTTAGGTTTAAGCCATTTCTACAGTTTGGCAAGAAAATAATGTATGATGAAATGTAAATAGTGAAGTGCACTGATAGCAAAATAAAGAAAAGGTATTTGAATGCCAGTAAATCTGCTTGCTGGTAACAATCCTGAAGGAGAAGTTGCTTGAATGAAAACCTTAGATTCCCAGGGCATCTTTCTGCACCTTACAACCCAGCAGAGTGTTTCCAGCCTCCACACACTGCGTCACATGAGGTGCTGAAAACAAACACAGAACCAGTCATCACCAGAGGAACCCGATTTTAAATGGTACACTGTTAAAAACAACAGAACATTACTTGTTTTTCTGGTTTTTACCGTTCTGAGCACGCAGCCATGACACAGCCTTCATAGCCAGAAGCTCCCACTCCTCCTGAGCATCCATCTTGAAACCATGAAGCCAGATCAGAGCCAGAATGGTGGCCCACACTTCCTTGTTCACCTAATTCACAAAAAAAGAAAAAGAAAAGATGTATAATAAGTGATGAGTGACAATCAATGGATGTGGGTCTTTTATTTTCACTGGCCTTGTTGATTCAGTGCATATAGTGCTAACTTTGTATCATGACTATCTGTTTTTGTTTTACTATCAGTGTTTCCTTGCTGGTTACAATTGATGGACCAAATATCCAGTGCCGCTTAAATCGCGCAAAAAGCAATACAATAAATATAGTTTGTAAAAAGTACAATTCATCTCTTTTAATTGCAGTGGAGTAGAAGTATAAAGTGGAACAGTAAACAAATAAAGTACCTGAAATGTTTACTTACTTAAGTACATTTACTTACCACTGCATATAGCTCTATTTCAATTTCTGATATTTTATATGGAGTGCTTTATTAAATGCAATAATTTGAATTAGTCCCATCAATATAAAACATTTAATAACCTCAGCTTCAATCAGTCCCATTTGTATTAATGTTTTGGATAAGGACTCACCTCTGAAGGTTGGGTGTTCTCCACCTCCTCGCTGGTCTTTCCCAGCGCAGCAGCCACGGCCGGATCCAGCTCCCACCGACCCGACGCCCTCTGGAGAGAGACCAGCTGCAGCAGAGGGTCTCTGCGAGGCAGCTCAGGCTTTGCCTCTGGAGGATCATCATACATATCTGAAATATAAACCAAACATATAATAACTACTGAATAAACTTATTTTTACCCTACAGTATGTGATGAATGAGTGGTGATATAGTACGAGGCAGATCAGACCATTTGTGCATCTAACTCCCACCAGTGTTTTTTCAGATTTATATCCATGCACTGGGTAAAATAAACACAATGGTTGCATATTTATGTCTTCTTATTTTTTGCATTAACAGCCAGATGTTTTTGTATTTACGGACTGATATTTTTTATCTATTTCAAAACCTTAACCAAAATGAGCATGGGTTGAGAGCCGCTTATCATGGCTGAATCATTTGCTATCCCCAAAGTGTTTGTGTCACACTTAGTTTAATCATTGCTCTCGATCATGAATCTTGGCTGCCTCTGGTTCTGCGTGACGCCCAATTTATTAATTATTTTGGTAGCATGTGGAAGTTGTTTGACATCGTTCTAGATACATCTTTTCAATATATTCATAAAATCATATTGTGAAATGACTTGTCTATGTTGTAATTGTGAATGTTACTGAACTGCACACATAAAACATCACATTTTACGAGTCTGTATACAAATAACCGATACAGTGTGGATCCAACTGAAACAAATCAGATACCTTGTTGTTCATAATCGTCTGCCATTTGATATCCTTCATACACTGTATCTGTCTCGGAAGAAATACATAGTTACAATAGCAAAAGCATACCAACATATTTATTAAATATTTTGGTAACATTTGGAAGCTGTTTGACATCCTTCCAGATATATATTTTCAATATATTCATAAAATCAAATTGTGATACGAATTGTTTATGTTGTAATTGTGAATGTTACTGAACTGCACACATAAAACATCACATATTATGAGTCTGTATACAAAGAACCAATACAGTGTGGATACAACTGAAACAAATCAGATACCTTCTTCTAAACTGTCTGCCGTTAGAAGTCCGTCAATCGGAATATCTGTTTCAGAAGAAATACATAGTTACAATAGCAAAAGCATGCCAAAATCTTTATTTCTAATCAAATTAATAACTTTTCCTAATTTCACGTGTGTAGTGCACTAAACTGATGCTGCTTTGTGACTCACCCTGTTCCTTTCCTAAAACCACTTTTACTTTACAGCACCACAAATATTAATTACATCTATCAATCTTACCAGTATGTGAATAGGAAAGAAGTATGTGTTTGTGAAGGTAATGTTTGCATTTTCTAGAATAACAGACCCAAAAAAAATTCAGTTGATGTATCTTTAAAAGCCTGTATAAACATAAGGACGGTACTGAAAAAGGTTCCCATGCACATAACTGTAGTGCAAGTATCTCTCTGTCCTTGTGTTCAGTCGAAGCGGGGATACACCAGTGTGTTCAAAAAGCCAACGAACCCTTTACTCACTGAATGCAGCTGATTGCATAACATGGACACCCCCCGAGAACCCTGAGATAAAATGAGAGTACATAAAATGAAGGTCATTGGCAGGGGAAAATACATTTAAAAAACTGATTAATGAAGATAATAAATAATTAACTTACAACTAATAACACTTCCCTGCATCTTAACTTGTTTCGGAAAAAAATACACTCTCTGGGTATTTCACATTAAAGCTTTATTTCAAAAAGCAATCCCCCCAGAAAAATGTGTTATCGTTTTGACATCGATACACATTTTGATTCAACTCCCATTCTGCTTTTTACTTACCTCCAGCCGCAGGACTATGGGACATCATCATCATGCATGGCATAGGACAGCCCATCATCACTTTAAGATTTAAAAAAGTAAAAAAGGGTATATCTGTCAAAACATGAGACTTTTTTTGGAATCACATGAAACTAAATTACTAGTTTCTGAGCTTATTAACATTAGTCACAACATATTTTTTAAATAGTACTTAAAGGTCTCCTATTATACTATTTTCAGGCATATATTATAGGTCTCAGATATATAAAAAACATGTCTATGATGTGTTTTGCTCAAAATACCAAACAGATCATGCATTTTAGACATCCCTCATATCCCTCTGTTTCAGCCCTGTTTGAGAACTGCTGATTCTGGGTCGCTGCTGGTCCCGCCCCCTTTGGAGCACACAGGCACACTGTTGCGGCTTTCACACCAGCGCTTTTCCCTTTCTAGCTCCGAGCGGGAGCTTTTCTGGTTCAGCTCCGGTTTCCCTTTTCTGCTCCCGCTCTGTTCACACCGCCCAGAGCTGCCGCTGCTGCATCATGACGTCACCGTTTACGTGCCTGCTTCATAAATCCTCTTATCCTCTTACGAAACGAAATGGAAGGCATCGGACGACTTTACAAGGGACGACTTTACTTGGAACTTTACAAACATCACATGCGAAATGCAAGACTTCTTTGTGGTCTTCAGCATCTACTTCAATGACGAATCCGTAGGAAAAAGAAGCCTGCCCCGCCTCGACGTAAGAGAGACGTAAGCGACACCGCCTCTTAGCTCCGAAGCTCTTGCCTCTAGACCGACAATTTTTTGGAGCTGGAAGTGAACCTGATTCCAGAGCTAAGAGGCGGCGCCTCTGCGGTGTGAACAGGAAAAAACGGTACTTTTCAGGTTCCAGCTCCGAGCCGGAGCTGAAAACGCGTTGGTGTGAAAGGGGCATGTGAGCTGCAGAGAGAAGAAGGCTGATAACTCAGCAGATTCTCAGCTAAATGCTGCCTTGATTAAACGCCATATCATGTTCCAAACCACATCATAGATTATTTATGAAACAGTATGGAGCTCAAATGCTTTTTCTCTTGCGGGTTTACCACAAGGTGAGTTCCTTTTTCCCCCCCTGCTTTTTTACACATACTCTCTCCAGTACAGTTTAGCTCCGAGTGTTAGCGATGCTTGCTAATGTAAACACAGACCATATTACTTCCAAAACACGTTGCACATTGTTTCTGATAGCAACGTTTCTGATAGGGGACGATAGGTTGGGGCGGAACGTTGCCAGGAGTTCAACATAAAGCCAGCCCACATTTTTGTAAAGTCATCATGACCACAGAAAATGTGGATCAGCTCCGTTGTACCCCCGTTTTTAGAGATGTGGGTAAGGAGGAAAAGAGAGAGTGTTGTATTTTTTGACACTTTTTGTGGGTCTCTTTACACACCGGGGACACATCTTGTAAAAAGGTACATTTTGCTTAATTGGTGACCATTAAGATACTCAAGTCTTTTAAAGGTCACCTAGTATGCAAAATCCACTTTTTTATGTATTTTATACATAAATACGTATATTTATATCAGAATTAAGAGATTCTGAAAGTTGGGGGGAGTGGAATCTCATTTGCATTTAAAGCTACAAACACAGAATCAGCTATTTTGAAACAGGGCTGAAACAGAGGGTTATATCATATGGCATGCTACAATGCATGCTTTGTTTGGTATTTCGAGCCCAACACTTTGTATATATCTGAGACCAATAATATATTGTTGAGAAATAGTATAATAAGGGACCTTCAAAGATAACAAAGGTTTAAAAAGTTAATATTTTTTACGTACAAAGTTATAGGCATGAAAATGAAGATGGTTTTTATGTTTTACTTACTGGATGTTGGAACATTTCGGCGCACCAGGGGTCCTTGAATCGTCTCTCCGTTGCCTTTGTTGACAGCAATGAAGGCAGTGAAGGCGCTGCTCACTCCTGATTGGACGCTGAGCTCCACCACCTTCTTCTTCTTCACTCCATCTGGCTCTCCTCCTTCTCTCTCTTCTTCCTCCACCATCTCCAGGGAGCGAATCAGAGTCCGAGCAGCCAACCTGTGCACCGTTAATCTGCGGTAAGGAGAGAGTAGACACAAGTGGATTTAATTGTTTTCATAAGGTGAATATTAGAAGCAAAATAAACTTCTGCATTCTAACTTGATGTTTCCCATGTTCACTAGCTTAGTTTAGCGTGTTAGCAAGCTAATTGCTAATTAGCACATTATTTGGTCTAAACATCTATTTTAGGTTACATTTTAAAGTCCATATTTCATATAAAAGCCGATACAGGTGATTGCAAAACGTGAATGTGCTCTAAAAATGTAGCTTAAGCACATATATTGTAATAACCCTTGTTACCACTTGACTATATACAAATGAAATTAACTCTGTATTGTTAAGTGCTTATCTGATTTAAAGTACTTCTGCAGTCTGAACAAAGCCTGTTTTACCCAGAGTCCTCTGCAGGTTTGAGGCTGAAGTGGAACTTGTTCTGAGAGGGATGGCCTGCCAGGCTGTACTTCACCGTCACAGAGCCCTCTGCTGCCTTTGGACTCTGAGAGAGCATCACAGGCACAAATGTATAATAATAGCTACACAGTGGCGACTGGTCATTAGGGGCAGGTGGGGCACAGCCCCACCTAGTGTCAGCAGAAAGTATTAAAAATAATGATTAAAAATAAATGCAAAAAATAAATTAAAAAATATATTAAATATATTTTAAGATCATGTTTAATCATCTGATTCGTCTGTACATTGCTGTTTTAGTCAGTGTTCTTCTAATTAGTGTCTACAGTGTGTGCCTATTGTGCTGTTTAGAGCCATGTGGGACAAAACCCGATCCTGCCCCTCCCTCTTACTGTCTAAGTCAATGGTGACTGTAAAAACTACACTGCGCATGCTCAGAATACTTTCCTATTTAATGTGTGTGGCAAAAAAATAATGACCATAGGGGCATAGAGCTGCCATCCTCACCATACGTCATCTCACATCATTCAGAGCTGATTGGCTGTAAGTACGTGTGCCGCGAAAAGTGTGGTGTGTGAAGAGGAGACGAGAGAGCTGCAGTGACGCATCCTAAAACCCGGAAGTAAGCTGCGCATGGCTTCCCTCGACAAAAAAGCAATGAGATTTCTCCATAGGATTTTAGAAAATAGCTCAAAATAAGATCTGTGGGAAACAAACCTGTTATATAAATGCACGTTTTGTTCAGCCGGATAATATCCACATGTCTACCCTACTTTTATAATTTTCGAATCATAAATCTATTGATTCGATTTATGATAGACTTTTGAAACTACAAGAACATAAGGAGGACTTTTACAAAAAAGTAATAGAGATTTTTGTCCAGAGGGATAGGCAAATGGACTTAATCTTCAAGTCAAGGTAAGACTGCAATTTTATTGAAAATGGGATCTTACTAAGAGAGAACAATTACATATTTAAATGATAAAATTACATTTTTTGGGTATCCATTTGTTGAACTGTCTGTTTAAAATTAATTGAAGCATCAGACAAAAAAAGCTTTTGAAAATAATATTATATTTTGATTTAGGTCAAAATATAATATTTGTAACCTGAAGAGTCAGAGCCAGTGCCTCACCAGCCATGAACCTCACTGAACCTCACTGCACGTCACTGCAGAAGCTTATATATAGACATCTAAGTGTTTTGTGCCCCACCACTTTTGTACATATAAAAACGCCACTGTAGCTACAGATATGTTTTTGAACCCTGACAAATCTAAAAGTGAAGTATTTCAGTCTGAGATTTGAGTGTTCCTCCTACCTGTCCAGTGAGCTGGGCATAAATCAGTGACCTTTGACCCTGGAAAAGTGTTGTGATTGGTGGTGAGAGAACAGTGACAGAGACTCCCTTTGGAAAATCCCACTTCACTGAGATATCCACCACAGCTGGTTGTAGAGCAAAACGCAGCGACTGCATCACCTGAGCGGTAAACAGCGTTTTACAAAAAGTTGGCAAAGGCAATGGGTGTTTCACTTAATGCATATTAATTTTCAATTTTTCCTTCAAATTGATACAATAACTGTAAAGTCTTACTTTGGGTTGCATCCTGTCAATGCCTGTGATGAACTGAGCGTAACCTCCTCCTTCTTTGGCCAACCCATTGATAAGAGCGGAGCTGGCCCCTTCCCCAATCCCGAAAGAGAAACACCTACAATACAGTCATTTTGTTTTCAACACACACAGAACTACAACATATTCTGGGAATTGTGTGGGTGTTTGTCGAGTTATCACCTGTGGGAACCTGAATTATTCTTCACCAGATTGATTACTTCTTTGGTGTTCCCCACTTCTCCGTCAGTGAAGACAAATAGCTAAGGAGGAGAGTTTACATTTAACTTCAAGAAACATAGCATCACACCCGGAAATGTGCAGCATGTGTTGTTAAGTCATCCTCATAATTATATGAGAGTTGTGTTAGATTGCTGTTTTAGTCACACACATGGTTTAAATGGGAAATTCTAAGGAACAAGGTGTGGCTGTATCAATGAGGTTACAGGCAAGATATATTTGCAAAACCAGTTTAGTGTGTGTGTGTAGGTGTGTGTGTGTGTGTGTGTGTGTGTGTGTGTGTGTGTGTGTGTGTGTGTGTGTGTGTGTGTGTGTGTGTGTGTGTGTGTGTGTGTGTGTGTGTGTGTGTGTATTACTTGTCGAGATTGATTGGGAATGCAGGCCTGGCTGTAAATGTGCTTGAGGGCCTCAAGGATCTCAGTTCCTCCCAGATCATCTTCCATGAATTCAACCTTCTTCAGAGCCTCTTCCATGGTCTTCTCACTGTACTCCACACTCTTACTGCAACCAGAGTCACATTCATGGAGGAGGTCAGGTGGTGAATAGCTATGTGGCACTAACAACTTCAACACTGTATTTCATATACCAGCTCACCCTACAATCTTTCCATAGACTAAAGCGTATCTACAATCTACTGAATATATTTGACATTAAACAATCTATGGTTTTGCAGGATCACACAATATGACTGACCTTTTTGCCAATGCTAACATGAATTACAGAGCGATATCAAAAGATTAAGCATATTTTTGTGGACTGAGTGACATACAGTAAGGAAGTGACTCACGGGAAGATGTGTTCATAGCTTGACCCGAAACTGTAGATGTTGAAATAGCAGCCCATTGGTATACTCTTCAAGAGGAGCAGCAGAGTATCCTGAAGAGAGGAAAGAATAGATGGTGAAGACTACTATTTCAGAGGCAATGATTTTATGACTTAATTAAAACATAATGAATACCCTGGCACTGCCAATGCGAGTCTGTGAACCCTCGTTGTTGTTCAGAGGGACACCCATGCTGCCAGATCGATCCAATAAGAACACAAACTCTCCACATGAGGAGAGTGAAGACATCACAGCCTGGGGGAACTCAGGGTACAGACTCAGCATCACCACTGGATCCCCCATCAGAGTGCCTGAAACACAGGAGAGACAGAAGATGTAACCACTAATCTGGATTTTTATTTTTTTTATTACAACATATAACTGTGAGGCTGAAGATAGTGAACTAAAGTGCACTCACCAGGCTTGGCGGAGGTCTGTCCTGCCTCCACCACAGCTGTGGGCTGGTGGGCATCTTTGTAATAAATCAGAAGTTCAACATCTTTGTCAAACTTGTGTCCTGCAGCCAGCTTGACCTGCAGGTCCAAAAATACACTAATAAATATAATGAGGTGACACTTATTGGTCTTAGTAATTAAGAACAATCACACAGCACATTTCAGCACTCTACCCACCATGGCCTGGCTCTGCTCTGTGTTCAGATACTTCAGAGGGTCCATGGGACAGTTGGACTCTACTTTAGAGACCGGACGAGGAGAGGACACTCGGGCAGAGAAAAACAGACTGTAGGGCACCAGAGAGGCGGGAACAGAGGTCACCTGGACACCTTCACTACCTGTTAACAACACAACACAAGTTAGGAATATTGTGAGAAACAGTACAGTGAGAGAAATTCATGCAGTGTTAATCTGGGAGCTCTATTGTATAAACCCTGCAGTACAAAAACATGTTGGCTGGTTTCCTACCCTGTGGATGGTAGCGAGGGTTGAGCACAGCAGGCAGAACAAACCTCAGCCCTTCATCAGCCTGCACAGCCAGCTCAGTGACGTACTCCAGCCTGATGGAAGCGCTCTCTCCTGGAGGCAGACTGCCCACACTCAGAGAGAAAATATCTGGACTCTGATCACTCTCCTCCAACAGGAAGGCCTGCTGACCGGAGCTCAGAGCGTCATCGTACTCCTCACGAGCCTGGGGTACAGAGGACACTTTGAGCAACATTCACTGGGTTCACTGAGTTGTTATGCTCCATGGTAGTGAGTGTTTCTCCAGCTCACCTTCTGTTTCTCCTTCACCTCAGCCACGATCTGTGTCTGTCCAATCGTAGCACTGAAATGACAGACAGCAGCGTCTCCAGGCATAGGGAAGACAAACACAGCCTCCAGTGGTTTGTCCTCCTTGTTCTCATAGATCAGAGTGGACACCACTGTAGCCACATGGTCCCTCACCTCCAGCTCCACCTCCACACTCTTCAGAGGAACTGACCGAGAAGGATACACAATGAAACAAATGTTTTTTTCACTCCAGGTTGACCATAGAAATCACATGTATGAATTCTTATTTAGGATTATTTTTGAAAATGTGCCCAATGGCCTTTACAGCTAGCATAAGCTTTATAATTGTAATCTTACATGACTCCAGGTTATAGAAAAAAATACTTTTTTTATCAGTTTTGTTGAAACAACTGTACCTGGTTCCTTTTTAGAGGTTAGCAGACCACAGCAGTTCTCCATCGTACCTGTAAAACAAAGAGCATATACATAATTACATATGATATATTCTTCCTGCTGTAGAGATGAATGGTTATGATGTCCATCTACAAACGTCTCACCAAATATATATTATAACAGTAGTAAACAGTAACACAGACACACTGGTGATTCAAGTGAAAGAGTATATTAGTGGGAAAAAAACAGAATACTTGCATCAACAGTATGTGTCTGAAGACTTAGATCATTTTACAGCTGTAATACTATCTGTCAGCATGTCATCCTAGGTGACCCTTAACCAATTCCATAGGATTTAGCATGCAATCATGACTCAAAGGTTATCCGATATGAACTGATGAGTATATCAAAAGGACAGATTACTTCTACAAACAAAAATATACGAATTCAATTATTAAATCCCCCATAACTCTACACATAGCTATGTCATGCCAGATGACTTCAATGTGCGCATCTCTCTCAACAAATGTACTGTAATGCGCTATAAATAAATAAATAATTAAGATCTCTTTTTCCTTGGCTACTGCTCAACCCTCCCTGGTTCAGTCTGCGTCTTAAAAATGTGTATTTCAATTATTATTCTCTATAGCCTACTTAGCATGCATTGTTATACAGCTGTTATTTAGAAAAACAGCTGCATGCTTAATAATGACTACTTAATAATATAATAAAAAAATAGGGTTATGTCACTCAAGAGTGTTTAAGTATAAAGAAAATAGAAGCTGATGTCTGTAAAGCTCAGATGTAAATTCGAAACAACAATAACAACAGAAACACGCAGTTATTAAAACGGGGTTTCAGTGCGTTCATTGTTATATATTACCTCAGACGCTACAGTAGTTTAAACGGAGATAAGAATTCCTACCTGTCAGGACCAATGTTTCGTATCCGGGGTTTACTGGATTTGCGTCAGGTGTCGGGAGGCAACTTTTAAAAAGTAAAAGCTTACAAATACAAAAATGAAAGTCATGCTTTCCGGGTACGCTTGATTTCAGTGCATGAGCACTCCCGGTGGGTGGAGCTTGATGATGCAATATGAGAGCGGCTAACTCCTATCATTCACAAATGTCTCTGAAGTGCTACAAGAATGTACAGGGGAGAGTGGGGTAAATTGAGCCATTTTTAGTTATGCTGTCCTCTAAGCAAGGAGAAATGACGCATAGTACAAATGAAAACACACACCTATAATTCAGGATGTCTCCTATCAATGGCAATGATAATAATTAATATTTAATCAAGGGCAGTGAAAATATTACTTCTTAAAAAAAAAAAGTCTTGTGGCTCAGCTTGCCCCAGTGTAGGGGTAAGTTGATCCAGGTCAGGGGGTAAATTGAACCACTGTTCAGACCTGGGCATACCTGTTCAAACATGGGCATACCTACAACAAATCTTAAAGGTAACTATAAACAATAAATAACAAACCAAATACAAGCTTAGTTTTTCAAATATTTTTTATATACATTTCGATTGAATTGATTGATTTTTTTAACATGTTAAAAGGAAAAGTAATCATACAAATGGTGATACAATTTCATACATCTTACCAATCAAACACAGGGTAAATTCAACTTTAAATGTAGCCTACAATGAGCTCTTATTAACAACTTGGCCTACTTTCATTCATTTCTCCATTGAAAAACTGGCTCAACTTACCCCAAGGCCCGTGGTTCACTTTACCCCATAGCCACCATTTTAGAAAAAATAGCCTAGCATTAAAATTCAGAGTCATCTTTAGCTTAATGATTCACATGGTTTAATACGCTGCCAACACATCAACATATACAATATATGTGTTTAAACCTGGATACTTTTTTTTTGACATGACAGCTGATATAGCTGACATCTAGAAAATGTACTTTGACAAGCAAAAAACGTTTTTTTGTAAAAATGTTTACTTACCAGACCACAATGAGTATCCCTCTTTCACAGGCAATGAGAAATGGGTGAAGCTTGCATAATTTCTGGTCACTTGATTACAACTATAAGGCGTTGCCTGGTTACAGGGGGTGGTTCAATTTACCCACTGGCTCAACTTACCCCTTCTCCCCTACATGCTGATAAATTGCAGATATTGTATTCTATTGTTTAATTTAAATCACAGTTTAGACAATCCTACTTCCTTGAATATCTTGTTATTGTTAATTTGTAAATTCAACATGTGTATTTTCTACTTTCTTGTTTACTTCTTGTCTTTTAATTTTTATTGTACAATGCCATGTCTTTTTATGCTGCTGCAACATAAACATTTCCCAAATTAGGATCAATAAAGTTCTATCTTATCTTATCTTAAAATGGATCAGACTGCTCTTCTGTTATTCTCTTCCTCTTTGCAGAAAACCCATTTGGTGTTGGACCACTTGTTGTGTCCATGAAAAATAAAGACTTCCACTGAAGTGTGAGATTCTTTTTGAGGGACAATCATGTCCTGGACCTGGAAGCATTTTAGGATTTACAAACCTGAGATGTTTTAGAAAGTTTGTTAAAAGACCACCAAGGTTACGGCCGGCAGATCTTTAAGTTGTTCAAGTTTTCTCCATTAGCACCAAATCGTCATATTCTTGATCTAACGGGAGACTTACAATTCTACATTTAAAACAAAACATAAAAGCATTACCGATTCATATTCTGTGGCCATAAATCTACGCTAAACGCTCAAGGTTTGATTTTTTTGTCCAATGTGCACAAGGTTTCTCATAGTTTGTGCTGCACAAATAATAAAGCAGGGGTGGAGTTTTAATCCATTAATGCTAATGTGTTAAAATCTCAAAGCTGTGATACACATTTAAAAGACAAATAGGAATCTACCAGGGGAAAATAGAAAACATGAAAGTGCAGGATTGTATTGTTGCTGTGTAGATTAGGTAGTAAAGGTTGTAGGCAGAGGTGGGAGAAGTACTTCAGATTGGACTATTTCAGAATAATATATTATATTTTTTATTATTATTGATGCATTAATGTGTTATCAAAGCAGGTAACAGTTCAGCTACTTTTAATTACTTTGTATACTACAGGGTAGCTTGTGAATTTACTCCAGGTGTAACTAAAGTCTTGTGTTGATTATATTTCGCATTATTCATCCAAATCTGCCATGACAACCACTTTTGATCCAGTTTCCCCCCTTGTTTAGATGAGTTAATAACTACACATCTTTGTTTAGTGTGCAGTATTTTGGTCAAGATTCAGACAATATCATGTATTTATTGTGGGGATTGTTCTATGTTTTTGTTGTTTACTTGTAAAACATTTAAATTGGAATCTTTGAATTGGATTCAGCCGTGGTCACCATGGAAACAATCAGTGCATCTATCAAACCTCACCCGAGTAAAGACGTTAACCTGCGCAAGTTATTTAAACTACTTCCTCACAACGGTAAGAAATACAACATTTCTAATGCTGTGTGACAGTCTCTGCTTTACAGGAGCGACTTCGTTTGACTTTTGTTCTTTATATTGGTAACTGGTAATGATATAGATGACCTGCTTTCTCTGCACAAGATTGGCTGACTTGAGTTGCTCGACTTAAATTGTGTTATTGTCGCTATTAATGTTTACGATATAAAGCCATAGTTCATTTTGAAGCTGTATGTATTTAAGAAATGCACAAACTAAAGCACCAGATACATCTCTATTGTTAGATTTACAAGTGTCTAGCTGGATCGACTCTACCTCTCTTTAAGCTTTTGGGTAGTGATTGTTTTGTTACATTACATTACATTACATGTCACTTGTTAGACGCTTTTATCCAAAGCGTCTTACATACTCAATACTGTGGACAATCCCCACAAGAGCAATTTGGGGTGAAGTGTCTTGCCCAGGGACACAACGATATGCTGACTGCAGTTTTGTCAAATTCAAGTTTCCAAGGTTAACATTTTGAAAAACAATACATGTTTTTTTGTATTCATGCGTTTGGTGAATAAGGTTTATGGTCATTGCTGTTATTGCATATGGCTGAACATCTGGTAGAAGATAATACAAGCTGCAGAATGAGTTCATCAGCATAGGTAAGTTACTTTAACTTTTAGGTTGACTATTGATCAAATGAGATTACTGAAACAATGTCATTGTGTTAAAAGTTTAGCTGTCCATTTTCCATCATGATATTGGTGGGAAAAAAATAATTTTGATTTTGCATGTCATCAATAGTATTTAATTGAAAGGGTTCCTTAAAAAGATGTGTCTGAATGCCAAGCCCTTTGTATGTATTTTTAGAGAAAAACAAATTCAGCCTGAATCAAATAACCAATCAGGGCGTCTTTGTGCAGTAGTTGTATCAAGTTAAGGATGTTATATTTTTTCTGCAATCCTGTGTTTATTCAGTGGTATTTAAGGCTATGAGTCAGAATGCCTTTTCAGGTTTCATTAAAAACCTTACTATATTACTTCTGTCACATACATTTTTGAATCTAGACATTCCTATGTGATTAGAAATTGTAATTTAAAATGTTTTGTCTTCTAATACACTTTCTATGTCCTTTTCTTTGTTTGCTTTATACTGTAGAAAGCGACCAGCAAAAACCCAGAGACCTCATGATGAACGTAAGGAGAGTATCATTGGAGAACCGCTGGAACAAGATCAGTCTACCCACACTGTAGAAAATCCACAATCAGGTGACCAGTGTAAGAAGAGTTTCAGACTATATATCGATCTGGAGGTCCACCGGAGAATCCCCACTGGAGAACATCCTTACTCCTGTGACCTCTGTGAGGAAAAGTTCAAAGATGTTAGCAATTTGAAGGTCCACCAGCGCATCCACACCGGAGAGAAGCCTTACATCTGTGACCAGTGTGAGAAGAGTTTCAGACAGTTAAACGTATTGAAGGTCCACCAGCGTATCCACACTGGAGAGAAGCCTTACACCTGTGACCAGTGTGAGAAGAGTTTCAGTAACTCAAGCAATTTGAAGGACCACCAGCGTATCCACATCGGAGAGAAGCCTTACACCTGTGACCAGTGTGAGAAGAGTTTTAGTAACTCAAGCAATTTGAAGGACCACCAGCGTATCCACATCGGAGAGAAGCCTACACCTGTGACCAGTGTGAGAAGAGTTTTAGTAACTCAAGCAATTTGAAGGACCACCAGCGTATCCACATCGGAGAGAAGCCTTACACCTGTGACCAGTGTGAGAAGAGTTTTAGTAACTCAAGCAATTTGAAGGACCACCAGCGTATCCACATCGGAGAGAAGCCTTACACCTGTGACCAGTGTGAGAAGAGTTTTAGTAACTCAAGCAATTTGAAGGACCACCAGCGTATCCACATCGGAGAGAAGCCTTACATCTGTGACCAGTGTGACAAGGGTTTTAGGCAAATAAGACATTTGAAGATCCACCAGCGTATCCACACTGGAGAAAAGCCTTACATCTCTGACCAGTGTGACAAGAGATTCAGAGAATCAGAACACTTATTGACCAATGTATCGCACATTGGCGTAAAACCTTCACCAGTGCATTGAGACTTTAGAAACAGTGATATGGACTGTTTGACACAGCTTGCTGTTAACAGATGTTGTTTAGATTTTAAGAGTTGTCATGAAGTGTTCTCAATCAAATTGATATGCATGCACTTAAGTTGTCAAATTGTATTTTTTTCAGCAGGAAAAATGCACGAACAAACACAGCTCCCTAAAGAGCAAAAAGGTTTTCAAACAGAAATACTCGATATCACTGTGCTACATTGCTAATTTACCAAAATGATCAAGCATAACACTGCTGAGCATGTGTAGAGAACCTTCAGCCTCATATGATGCTAGTTATAGAAGTGCTTTGAGACATAATATATTGATAACTGATTTATGAATGAATGATACTGATTTAAGACATCTTACAAGGTGTTGCACAGGGGTTTAGCCTTGGTCCATTGATGTTTATATTAGACATGAATTACAGCATTGTTTTTAAAACGGCCCTATACAAAATAAATGTTTGGTTAATATTTGTATTTTGTGCCTCTACTGTGACATGTTTACATGCTTTAATGTTCAAAAAGGTCTTTATTTTTCTCATACTGCCTGTACCGCAGCACCTCTTTTCACCCTCTGTCTAAAACCAGAGCCCCGTCTGCTCTGGACATTGGATTTATTCTGCATGATATTGACTAAGTGGTGCCTCTGCGGAAATTCGATTTTTGAGTTTGTTTTTAATTTGTTTGTAGTTTAGCTGCTACAAATATAAATATATATAATTATTATTAAATCAATCACATTTGTCATTTTTGTGAAAAATTCTTGAATTTTTATGAACACCCCCAGTGTAGTTCTGAAAATACAGGTGTAGATTTCTTTCAAAATAAATCCACTGGCTGGTGGTCCTCTCTATGAAGCAAAATGTCCCCAAATGCAATGATACACGTTTATAATGTGGGACTATGACAATTCTAGAAAGTTCAACAGACTAATAGTAAAGGCTTTGCTAGTTAAGAGAGCTCTTCATTAAATGTGTGCAGTGTTGCCCTGGGCTGCCATAACCAAGGCCGGATTAGTACCTCCAGGGGCCCTGGCATTGAGCACTCATGGCCTCACCCAACAAGTAACACCACGCCTACCCAATCCTACCAACCAATATTTAGAATTTTCAGCCAATCTGGCATGTCAAATCGCACACCTATTTGTCAAAAGCAGGGACGCAGCCACATAGTTCAATCAAAGTAGGTCTAGCCTTTTGCCCTTTCAGTCAAAAATCACAAGACAAAGATACAATGGATAAGATCTAAAGACAGTGTATGGCTCAAGAAGACCTAGGTAATATCACTCAAAACCTCAGAGCAGCACCCAACTGCCAAAATATGACTGGCTGGCTTTACAAGTACACAAGGAGTTCTATTAGTCACAAACATTGAGAGTTACATAAGTAAAATATGTAGTGAAATTGTGTGGTTGCTTAAGGGTGGGGCTGTGATTCGGCTATACACTGCTGCCGCTAATAATAAAGTTGAGTGCATACATAGTGAGACCTATGAGACGGTTTAGAAAATATATTAATTTGACCCTATAGAAAAGCTGTGTTATTTATGGCGAAGAGTGAGTGTCATTTAAAACAATGTATGATGAATGGAGCGAAGCCTGCGAGCTAGTTCAGGCAGTCAACTCGAGCACCAATGATACATTAACATGTGACGCGTCTCTCTTACAACCAACCAAACACAATCTCCTTAACTTGCCGCTCTATTTAAGCTGCCAGATCTGCCTGCCTCTGCCTCGCTAATGCTGTGGCTCTGTCACATTGCTGATGCGTTCACGTGCTGCTTGCCTTGCCTTTTTTCAGCAATTGTCTTTTCAGTGTTACTGTTGAACTAGAAACAAAAGAAATACCAGACAGACAGACAACTCAAATGTAAAGGGGAAATACCAAACAGCATAGTTCTGTCAAGGTGTTGACAACTCTAATGTATTTTTGTTGATTCTTGTATAACCTTTGCAGCATGTATGTTTGTGTGTTTGTGTCTGTGTGTATACGTTTAGCACTTGACTTAATTCTAGACAATACAAATACTTGACAATAAAGGCTTGTCTTATTTTACTTGTCTGGGTTGATTTGAAATGCAGGCCTGGCTGTAAATATTTTTAAGGGGCTCAAGGATCTCAGTTCCTCCCAGATTTGCATCAATCTCTTCAACTTTGTTCAGAGCCTCTTTCATGGTCCTTTCACTGTACTCCACACTAGTACTGCTGTCAGAAACACACACATAGTGCAGGTTGGTTTAGTCGCACAAACAACTTCTACACAGCAATTCAGAATTCCCATCCAGTTGTAATACCAACTTATTAAAATTACTTCCCATAGACTAAAGGCATGTATTTACTGTACAGCAGTAGTCAAGCATATACACTTTGTAGGATTTATTCATTTTAAAATGTTGAGAGTGAACAATTAAACAATCTTTAAAAACGATCAATAGTTTTGCAGAATCACCTCATATCAATGATTTGTCTGCTGTAGTAGAGCCATCATGAGCCAACAATTAGAGAGAAAAGATGTGACTGAGTCAAATACAATATGGGAGTGACTCACGGGAGAATGTGTGTACAGCTGGACCCAAAACTGTCGATGTTGAAATAGCTGCCCGTTGGTAAACTCTTCAGCAGGAGCAGCAGAGTATCCTGAAGACAGGAAGAGAGAATATATGAAGACTACTGGATAACTAAAATCCTAAAAGCAACAACAGAATATTAAGGCACTTGTTCAATTATTTGTACACATTTAAGAATTTTCATTTATATAACTGTGGATGAATAGGATAATGACATTTGCAATGGAACACCGTCACTAAAGTGTACTCACCAGGCTTGGCGGAGGTCTGTCCTGCCAAGCCAATAAATCAGAAGTTCAACATCTCTGTCAAAGTTATGTCCTGCAGCCAACTTACTTGCAGTTCACAAAACAAACAAATAAATATAATATATCAAGAGATACTTGTTTATAGTTGTGATAAAGAAGCACGCAGTCGACTTCAGCACTCTACCCACCGTGGCCTGGCTCTGCTCTGTGTTCAGATACTCCAGAGGGTCCAGGGGACAGTTGGACTCTACTTTAGAGACAGGGCGAGGAGAGGACTCTCGGCCAGAGAAAGACAGACTGTAGGGCACCAGAGAGGCGGGAACAGAGGTCACCTGGACACCTTCACTACCTGTAAGCAACCGGAGACACGTTATGAATATCAGAGGCAGTACAGACTAAAACCTCACTCTTACACAAGTAAAAATGATTAAACACAGTTAGTATCAAAGGCATATCAACAGCTGTGGATGAAGGACTGATATTTTTCTTGCAGTGTAAAAATACTCTAAGCAGTGTTGTAAATTAACTTTTACTCAAGTACTGTATAGACAGTTACTTTCACTTCATAGGTAATTTGTGTCCTTTTACTGAAATAGATTTTTTTGTATTTTTAGGTACTTTGCAGATTTGGATGAATAATGTGAAATATAATAAACGTAACACTTTAGTAACAACTGGAGTAAATTCACAAACTACCCTGCAGTATACAAAGTCATTATAACTAGCTGCACCTTTACCAGCAGTGATGAACACGTTAACGTAACAATAATTATAATCAAATCATATAATATATTTTCTGAAATGGGCCAATGTACTTTATGAATACTTTTACATTTTGTAGTTTATGTCAGGATTATTATGTCATGTCACGTGTCTATGTCTAGGTGTGGGTGTTTTTCCGTTCTCCTTGTCATGTTTTCCTCCCTGTATATTGTCTGGTCTCTTTTCCCTGTGTTTTCATGTCTGTCGTTAGTTCCCTGGTGTGTCTAATTTCCTGATTGTTTTCACCTGTCACTCCTTGTGTGTCTCCTGTGCTCATCAGTGTCAGCCCCGACCCTGATTGTTCCCACCTGTGTCTAGTTACCCTGTGTTTAAATTCCCCTGTCTCCCAGTTTTCAGTGTCAGTTCGTATTGTCTCTTGTCATGGTCAGGTCTATGCTCTTTAATGCTCAAGAATAGTTTTGTTCCTCACTACGTGAGCGATTTTCCTTTTGGTCTCATTTTTTGTCATCTCATCCTGAGATTAGTTAGTGACCTTCTTTTGTTCATCGTGTTTTTTTTGGAAAAATAAAGTATCTTACCAATACTTTACCTCTGTCTCCCTGTCTGCAATTGGGTCCAACATCCTAAGTGCCTGAGATCGTAACAGTTTAAGTATATTTTGATGCCAATACTTTTGCATGTGTAGTTTGAGAGGCATTTTCTTGCATCGCACCTGCTCACAGATGCAAAGAAAATGCGTGTGAACCATGAAAAGTGAAAATGAAGGTATACTTAAGGAAATTTTTGGGAATTAATAGAAAAGTTAATCAAGAAGAGAAATCAGATGAAACGGTAGACTATAGATTTCTGTCAGAAACGCCACCTCTGGCTGGGAGAAATACGGTTATGTGTACGTGCTTGTTGTGATGAAACAGGGTCATGAGGATGTAGTGTCTACAGTAAAACCAGCATGAGAAAGTAGAACACAGAACAACATGTTACCACAAGTGTAACAGGAAACAAGCACCTGCAGCTGACTTCCAGTGAATCTGGAGGTGTAGCAGAATAGTTCCCACACAGGACTTTCCCTCAATGACACTAATGGTGTTCCATGCTTTGCACACTGTCAACTCTTGGTTGCGGTCAAGCTTCTAACTGACTTTCTGAATTGCTCATAAGATAGAATCAAACAAACCGAAAGACTTTGTGTGGTTTGCAGACGTGTTGCAAACATATTGTGGTCAGAGCAGTACATTTTTCTTGTTGGCCTCTTTGTATCATAAACAGAATATTTGTGTAATGTTTATTTATTAGTAACATACCAGCACTAAAGCCCGGAAAGACAATAATCTCTTTTGTTTATTTTTTGCAACATTCAACCCGACTAACTGAAGTTCAACACTGTCCCTATACCGTTGGCTAGCAACTGATGCCCCTCTTTGCATTGCCATAAGAAATGTGGGTAACCAGGGAGCGAGGAAAGGGTTGTAGTGTTTGCAGTTGTTTTTTTTGGTTTTGTGAGGAAAAGAGAGTGATAGATGGAGGGCAGGGGGGTTGGGGAAGGCCTTAGTTGAACACCCTGGCTGGTAATATATGCAGCCCTATTGTGGCGATTCAATGCACCGTGCAATAATGGGGGGTAAGGAGGGGCACAAGGCGGTAGGGGAGCTATGACGAGATGTCTTCTGCCTCATGGTGTGCCCCCATATTCTGAAAACACACTAAAGACCAGTTCACATAAACCAGGCTCTTGTCCCAGTTAAAAAGAGCTTCTCCCATTCGTACCTTGTTTTTTTTTGGTGTCACTGAGGATCTGGCAAAAGACAAGAGCCCAAGGAAAGACACATTTGAAGACTGGCTTATTTTGCTGCACTGACAAGAATGCTGTGATACTTCAGTTTCCTCTGCTGACAGGTTGCGGGCAAAGTCTACGCTGTCATATGCACGTACATGTGTCGAGAGTACACGTCTCAGCTAATGCACCATTATCTCAAAAAGAGAAAAAGGATTACCATCATAAAGTGAGGTGAGAACATTTTCATTTTCAACATAAGCTAAAGTTTGTCATTGCCTGCTAAAATGCAAACCTAAAGTTAAATCAAAATGTATTAGGTGTTGAACTTATCGAACTTTGACAAAGGAAAGTTGATATGAAGTCAAGCTTTTGTTAATACCTAACTTGCTTTAGTTTGTTGATGTGCAAATGTATCAGAAGAGGAGAAGTAACTTAAAGTGAATCACAGTACAGTGATACACATACAAGTAATACATTGTATATGATGTTCAAACTACACATTTTAATAATCCATGTACTGGTGTCAGATATGTATTACTCCTGCAGAATGAGTGAAAGGAGCATTATTTGTGCTCTCAATTTAAACAGACAACGCCAATCAATTGAAGCTGCTCTGCTGAATGCTGGTTGGCGGAGTAGAGCAGTTGTTTATAGGCCTCCTGCTTTGTTTCGCTCTACCCCTTGTTAAAGCACAGACCATGAGAACAAAACCAAAGTATTGTATCTGAATAAAGATGACAAAGAACAATAGTAGCCTCTGTAAAGACAAGGCTGAGAAAAATGTAAGGGGTGAGGTTTTTTGGCGGGGGGAGGGTGGGTTAAGGAGTTTGGAGATGACAGAATGGATGACTGGCACAAACTGACCAAATTAGAACAAATCACTACTAAACAATAGGCTTTGGGTCAATGCATATTCCCCCGTTTGGCAAGCGGAAAACACTTTTTCCATGACTACATCCTGACTCATTAAAGAACTAATTCCTTAATGATGGTTTAGTTCAACTAAAAGTGTTTCAATGTTTGAACACACAACATTTTTTACATTTTAACAGCCACAGCTTAAAATATTAATTGTTATCCAGTTGGTGGAGACTAGAATTGAGGTAAGAGGAGAGTTACCATGTGACTTTATCAGGCGTGCAATGACACAACTCCAAATGATGCTGCTCCGCGTCTGCTGTATGGGAAAATGTCTGCTGTTTGCCGGCATATAAAATGTGTCATATTTATACGATTTGTAGGATATTGGCTAATTCTAATCTTTTCAAATCCAATTTATAAGCTTGCCTATCTGCCATGAATGCTGGAAATTGGGTACAAAACTGTATATTGTATTGCATATTTTTCATTCAGGTAGGATGTACTCACCCCGTCCCCAGGACATGATGTCACAGGACAGAAGAAGAATTTGGGAAGGGAGTGGAAAGCAGATGCAGTTGTTTATTCTTGCCTACCTCCTCCTCCTGGCCTTACCATGCATGGGCTTCCTCCCCAACTTTTGGTCCAGAGTGTTAACGTTGTCATGGGACTCACACACACACCAGTACATCACTGAGCAGGCTATTCTCAATGTCACCCTGGAGACCCTGAGGAGCACCAAAACATCTCAGGGGAACAATGAAGAGGAACAGGTGAGCTGATCTCAGGGTTTTTATTTTACATTCAGTATAAAACGGTATTAAATAACTACTTTTTCTATTACGCAAAGGGGTTGATAAAGGGACGTTGAATGAATGCTTGATTATTGTGTTCATATGACATTACAACTTAGCAGAAGCTTTTATCCAAAGTGACTCACATACACTACAATTTCTTAGACATGCCTACAGGAGCAGTTTGGGGTCAAGTGTCTTGCCTAAGGACACTTTGACATATTAACTGAAAGGGCTGGCGATGAACCATCGAACCTCTGATTATTAGACACTAAAGTTGAACCTGTGAACCCGCAGCTGACATTGAACACATAACTGCATCTTATTGGAAATGATAAATATCAGCCTGTATTTCTTTTAGACCAGACTGGGCCGTGGCTTCTGGAGAGCTGTGGGAGAGGTGGTGAAGTCCAATGCGGCCATGGACTTCCTGAGCAGCACCAGGTCCGACCCGGTGTACCACTTTGATTCGGAGCAAGTGGACAGCGCCATGGGGATGTTACGGCAGTTCTGGGCTCAGACTCTGCTCTCAGTACGGGCCAAAGAGTACCAAAGTGCTCGTCACAGCTTGGGACAGCTGTTTCACTCGCTGCAGGTACACAGCTGCACTGTAAAGAAACATCAGGAGGATTTGAGGAAGAGAGGAGAGGAAGTTGATAGCATGCTTCCACATTTTAACCTCTTGGCTTATTATTGGACATATTGTTCTAAATGACACCACAACCTTAATGGACAAATTAGAAAGTACCTGCGAAATTCAAAATTGTGCAAAACATCAGCTTAAATTAAGCCAGATGTGCTTTAAAGATTAAGAGTCAACTTCTTTAAAATATTGTTTTAGTGCTAAAAAGTTGTATTTGTATGTAACCATAGCTACAGACACTACAATAACCATTGAAAGTGATTTAAAACACTTGTCTTTACAGTCAAAATGTCATAAAAAAAATAAAGGAAGGGGACATGATCAAGAACATTAGGGATGTTGCTTTTGGGTCGCACTTTGAAGAGATTTTGCTCTGCTTTGATTCTTTGCACTTTAAAAAAAAAAGTAAATGTGGAGTGGTGATGTCGTGGATAACTCTTCCTCAAATAATAAAAAGGTAAAAACTAGGGTTGTAAACTCAAACACCTCATTTACGTTCTTCCAAACCGCTTACATGGCCACTCAATTGTGTTTCGCAATGGCTAAATATTCCCTCCCATGACGATCAAAGCAAAATGTGCTGAAAAAAAAAACACTCAAGTAATTCTTTGTATTTCAATCTTCTGCTTTACCAGGATTTCTACAGTCACAGCAACTGGGTTGAGATGGGCCAGCGCTCCATTTACCTCCACCTGCTGCAGCCAGAGGAGCCTGCCGTGCCTGTGGCTGAAGGTAATACTTCATATCTGCCTTGACATGTGCTTTTTACTCTGGAGTTATTCACACATTGTTCATTGCAATATATCTTGATTATCAAAATCAACAAAGGTGATGGCCTTCACTACAGTATTCTGGAATCCTATTAGTCAGTCAGCCTTTGTCACTATTCATTTTCTGGCAGCACACACTCAAGTGCAGACACACAGCTCAGTCAGGTTGACTTAGAGCTAAGATAACTAGACGAAAGGTCAGTTTGTCAATGGAAAGTAAGTTAGAACAGGCAGCAATCTGACTGGGTCCACCACCACACCAACATGTAGACATGCTTGCCCCTTTAAACAATAGAACATATGATTGTACTATTTCTACACTGTTCAATGTTAAAGACCATGAAAAACAGGTTTGCTGGAACGTGCCTGATGGATAGAGACGGGAAAACACTGAAAGCAACCATTTGAAAAGTGAAGCATGACAAACAGATTATCATTACTTTGCCTGCAAAAATGCTCATATTCTCGTGTTCCAGCTCCTCAAATGTGACAATTTGTATCTAGAAAACAAATCGCCAGATTGAGAGAAAATAAAAATGATCTTTAGTTGCAGCCTACATTTTGAGTTATATCCCTCATTGATGGTCATCATGACTATATACAGTTGTATGGACACATAACATGTGATATAATTATGATTTATGTCATGGTATTAAAATAAATTCAGTGATGAATACGTTAAAAATCTATTTCATCCTATGTAATTATTTAAATGTAGGAAGTTACTTTGCTTTTAATAATTGTTCAGACTAGTGAGAGCTGGCTGATGCAAACTGTGCCCAAACAATGAACATGACTAACCCTTCTTCCTCTCTGTCTACAGAAGACACTCCCACCTGTATGGAGTGCTTCAGCGCCACCTGTCGAGACAACCTCCAGCCAGGACTGACAAACACACAGCGAGAAACCCAGCTGCTCACCACCGGCTACTTCAGCACTTTCCCTCCAAAACCTTACGGTACATCAGAGAAAAACTTTATTAGTGCAGTCCAAAAAAGCAAAAGATGTATAACAACAACAACTACCAAATGCTTTCTTTTACTTTCCTTCTTAACCTCACTCGACAAAGCTTTGACTATTTCTTTCAGGCAAATGCAGTCATGGAGGTATTCTGGACAGTAGCCGCTATATGGGGGCCAAAGGGGGCATCAACAAGGACAGCACCTCCCCTGTCTTCTCCCCTCACCATTATCTCCATATGGAGGCTGCTAATTTGGCTATGGAGGCCACCCTGAGTGTACTGAGAGACCTCGGAGACACTGTGGGCCCTGAAACGTTCCTCAGGTAGGCTTTGAAAACTGTTTATGGGTAGTTCTTGTATTTCCCATAGTGAAAAATAGGTTCCCCTTATTTCGTTAGTATAGTATTCAACTTTGGATTGTTGTCTTACACACTTCCTTACCAGGCTCTTCAGTGTGAAGCAGATCCCTGCGTTGGTGTTTGTCATGGACACCACAGGCAGTATGTTTGAGGAGATCACTGCCGCTCGCTTCAGGGCTCACTCCATCATCGAGAGCCGAGCCAGCAACCCTGGGCTGCCTGGCACCTATGTACTGGTGCCTTTCCACGACCCAGGTGAGAGAAAACAGCTTATGTTTAACAATTATAATTCAAAAGCTACTGTGATACTTACACCTGAATAAAGAGGAAATACAAAAATAGGTGGATACCTTTAATGACCTTCTTAGAACCACAAAGGAATGCATCGTAACAGAAATGTAAATCACTGCTTTACCACAATCTATTAAGATAAAAACACCTTGCCACCAAATGAGTTCACCAAGAAAAACATTTGTATTCTCCACTTCAATATCTACAAGCTTTGTCCACCTCAAAATAAGTCCTCCTTAAAGAGGTCAAATAATACATCACAAAATGTCCAGTAGACCTAAAATGGGAGTTTAGGTTATTTCTTAAAAATGCAATCAGCAATCAGGAAAAGCAATGCGTTGCAAAAAAACCCCCAAAAGAATCAAACCTACAGGATGTGGTGAATTGTATTCCGGTCTTGGCTTGATTTCCTCCTCTGTTCAATGGTAATGGTCCTTAAGTCACACTGATTTCCTTGTTCACTTTAAATAGATAATATGAACTATTTAAAAAGAGCTGAATAATGTCCCCCCACTCAATTGGAGGCTGCACGGCTCCTCCATCACTCCTCCATGTCTCCACAAACATTTCCTCTCTCTCCAGCCCAAACTCTTCTCTTCCCTTGTCCCCCAGGCCACGCCCCCTTACACCTGTGATCCTTTAGGGAAGCAGATCATCTGACCAGGGGTAGCTTTGTGACAAAATGCATGGCAAACAAGTTAAAGTATGGTTAGAATGGATTTGGTGTAACCTGGGAAGAGTTTTAAGTATATAAACATTTCCCACATCTCAGCTTCGTGGCAGTTACACAGGATTATATGGAAAGATAGACTACATCTTTCCATTTCCTCTAAAGTTATCTTTATATTACCTTTTATTCAAAACCCTTCTTTTGAGTTGCCATCATGTTATGAAATATAAAAGATAAGTACATTGTTCATCATTATTCTCGTCGTCACTGAAATATTGTAATGAGTATGGAGTGATTATTGTGGGGATCTATACTATACTAATTAGGATTATTGCATCATTATGAACATTTCAGCAAGCCATATTGCAATTTGGATTCAATTGAAATTCTTTTTGCAACTCTACTTTGTATTAAGGGAAACGGATAGTTACTATAGCTATTTATTTACCATATAAACAGCTGTGTCAATCAAGAGTTAGTGAATGAATGTTTTAACTTTAAATGAGATGTAGTGGCCCTCCGAACTTTGGTCTTGCTAAATAAGTTCAATACGATGGAAGGTCTGCTGTTGTTGCTTGCCATCTAACACCTCTATCTCCTGCGCTCTGTAGAGGTTGGACCCGTGTTTGAGAGCGATGATCCAAACCAGTTCATCCAGCAGATGGATAACCTGATGGCGCTGGGAGGAGGAGACGAGCCAGAAATGTGTCTCTCTGCCATTCAGGTACATTTAAATGCTGTTTCTTCTGTAACAGTGTTCAGGTGTTTGAACACATTATACAGTATTACAATTGAAATCATGTGTAGCTGCTAATTTTCTATTGTGTGTGTTTTCAGCTGGCCCTCACTCACAGTCCTCCACTGTCAGAGATCTTTGTATTCACTGATGCCTCCCCTAAAGACGCCCACCTGTTTGATGCTGTGAAGGCTCTGGCACTTGAGAAACAGAGCAAGGTAAGATTTTATATTTTAAAGCATTCTTCTATAAAAAAACATGTCATTATCTCCGGTGTTGCACAAATGCATTTGGAACTTATGAGAAAATGTTCTGATGTGAAAAGCCTTCATCTAAATAAAAGGCATTATAATGTTACAGCTCACAACAAATGTAATGCTTCTGATGACATTACCAATTAATTACTAATTAATGACAGGGCCACTCATTCATAAAGAAGTTATCTATGTTTGCAGATACTTACTTAAAATAGTTAGTGAGTGTAAAAGGATTATGTAAATTGCCTTTTAGGATATTTTTGTTCCTGTAACAAACTTTATAAGTACACCCTGTTATTGTGTACAGAAATGGAGACATTTTATCATGTTATTTCCAGCTCAAACATTGGTCACATTTGAGGCTGATTTTTCCACAGGTGACGTTTCTTCTTACTGAAGACCCCAAATATACAACAGAGAGCAGAGGCAGAAAGAGGAGGAGGAGGAGGAGGAAGAGGGAACCTTTGTCTCCTGACCGTTTCTCTCTTTACTCCGCCCTGTCCTCCCTGTCAGGAGGTCTGACGATATTCACCACCAACTCTGACATCCGCAGGGTCTCGGCCATAGTGGAGGATAACACAGCCACTGACAAGGTGCAGCAGCCAGACCCTGTGCTGGGGATCAACCTCTACTGTTGTTAAGGCTGTACAAGGGCGTGGAATCAAATGCACGATGCAGAGACAAACAAAGTATCAAAATAAAGTGTTTTAATGTAGACAGGTCATAACACACTGAATACATAAAGCAACAAAACAAACACTCAATAAATTGTCTAACCTAAAAAACTACAAAAACTACTTACTTAATCTAACTCTATGGACGATAATAACTCTATGGACAATGACAAAATGATCTTACGCTGGAAGGCTTGGAACACACAAGACAATCTGGCAACGAGACAGGGGAAGACGAGAACTATATATACTAGACAGACAACACCAGGTGAAGACAATTAGACAATCACAACAGCGGGAAAACAGACAAGGCAGGAAACGTACTTTAGACAGATGAGGGTAGACAAGACTATCAAAATAAAACAGGAACCTATCTAAACACATAACATGAAACCTAAACTAGGGAACAATCTTAGCAGAGCCGTCTACGCACAACAACTGTTTAACCAAATCAAAGAAGGGATAAGTGATTACCTACATTTATGGATGTTTATCACTTGCCTCAAGTTCTCATCACTGATTGCTTACATATACTGATCGTGACCAGCAATGTTTTCTGTTTTATTTCAAAAATATTGAAGACGTTAGAGACAAAATAAACTGTCAAACAAACCACAAAGCCACTGAGACAAGCTTAGAGAAAGTCTGACAAAATATTGATTGTTATGGTCTCAGTAACTGAGCTACATCATGAATGCCTGTTTCATTCAGCTGTGAATATCTTCAACCACATTTAGGAAATAGTATGTGAAAAACAAACAGCTTTAAACCAGTAGCGTAGGCAGAAATGTATTTTAGGGTGGGCCTGTAAAAAATAGGGTGGGCCAGATTTTTCTTCTGCGCATCAGAAGCTAACAACGATCCCCGCCGGTACCGGTGGCAGATTACTTTTAGAATACTTTCTTTTTCCATAACAGATGGGTATGTTTTGGTGAACAGGAGACACGTATATTACTGTTTTAATGGCTTATCAAGAGCACAAACACAACATCTGGTTGGTGTCATTCTGGACAGCTCTCTCATCTGCACCACACATAAAACTATTTCATCGTCATCAGAACATGATCGTATAGATCGCTGCTAGATGAGGGCAGTGGGGGCTCTTCTTAGTGAACTTTGAGCCATCATTTATTTTGCAGGCAGCTCTCACGTTATTATGGCGCGCGCCGGAACCAACAATCAGTTTTACCGTAAATGAGTTTGGTTCAGAGGATAACACATACAACATTAATTAAACTCGATATTTGTTCACTTGAATTTCACTTTGAATTCTTGGATATTCTCAATGGGTGAATACATTTTTTAATTATTATTATTATTTTTTTTTAAATCACACCGAAGCTTTCTCAGGGTGGGCCAATGAGTAAACTGGGTGGGCCTGGGCCCACCCTGGCCCTATGGTGGCTACGCCACTGCTTTAAACATGCATTACATCTCTTCACCTTTTTGTCACTTAGAGGTAGTGGAAACAAGCTGTTCGTTTTTACATTAGCACATTATAAAGTTGCCTATTATTTACATATGCAATAACATTATAATTAATTTAAATGTATGTGTCCTTACATGTGAAGAATGTAAGCTCTCTTACTGGTTTCAAGCCCTTTCTGGAAAACAAATATTACACTCCTGAGCACATTTTTCTTCTTCCTCCCCAGGTGACCCTCCTCCATGTGGAAAGCAACCAGGATTTGATGTCCTCCCATTCCTTCAGAGTTGACAACTCAGTAAAAAACGTCACACTGCACATCACTGGCATCCTGACAGAGTGCATCCTGACCAGTCCGTCAGGTATCTGTGCATAAAATATATTAGTTTTATAAGCTGTTGGTGTAAGCTCAATCCAGCTGTGAAATACACTTTAACTTCCTCATAGAAATCTTAAAATACCACTACTTCTTGATAATAAAATAATCCCAGATGTTCATCTTCCTCTCCAATGTTAGACCAAAGTCAGTCTCTGCTGAGCGGGGACGGCCCCCTGGCAGCTTTAGACCACTTTGAGGGTCTGTACCGCATCAGCCTGCTCTCTCCCACACAGCCAGGCCAGTGGAAGCTCCAAGCCAAGAGCGACGGACACCTCACCTTCAATGTGATAGGTAAAGGAAATGTTGGACACATAAGATATGAACTAACTGCACTTGAACTGATAAAAGACACAAATATTTGCCTCTTGATCTGCACCAGGTGAAAGCAGTGCGGATTTCCTGTATTACTTTGCCACCGTAACCAATGAGACACACCCAGGGTTAGAAAGAGTGGAGGGAAGTCCAGTAGCAGGTGAGAGATTGGGATTTTTGTCTTATACATTTAGAAAATGTATCAATGACAGTCCCACAACGAGGAACGTGCTGACATTTAGCAAAACCACATTGTGATTTTGATTTCCCAGGTGTTCCTGCCTTTCTGGTGCTGGCTGTGATGGGCTTGGCTCCAGATGAGGAAGCGTCTTTCAGTCATGTGACGCTGCTGGGAGCTGACGGGGAGAGCCTTCAGCAGGTGAAGCTGAACGCCTCCTCCTCTTCCTCCTCATCATCCTACTCTGTGGAGGAGCTGGTGGGATGGGTGGACTCGGTTCCCAGAGCTCCTTTCTGTGTGCGACTAACAGGCCGAGACAGCAGAGGGAACACGCTGGAGAGAGTTTCCACAGAGAGGGTTCAGCCCACTCACGTTCAGATACAGGTAATGATAAACAAAACATTTACTGTGATGTAGGACACAATTTAAAAACCATTATTGGTAATAACTTCAGCTTTGTGTCACAGTTCATAACGTTTTCATTCAAAACAGCACAAATATCTTTATCCAAATGTTGCCTATGTTGGAAGGTGACAAATGTCCATAGTGATGAACCCGTAGAGACATTTTCTTTTAAGCTTTGGAGAGCGTTTTAGTGCCTTTTTATTTTATGTCCTGTAACTTTACTGTTTTGGTTCAGTCATTTCCAGAACAGGCTACAGGCTGCTGTTTTCAACACAAAAGTTGTGTTAAACCAAGCACTAAACAGCAGACAGAAAAGTTAGCAAAATGTAAACATTGTGGAGCATTTAGCCGGTAAATAACCAGATTCTTTCCTCAGGAGAAGCGAATACTTATGTAAGCACTCTCCCAGCCATAATACTGTGTCAGTGTTGTGTTTACATCTTGATCTGACCGAAGTTTACATAACTCAATTATTGTAGCATGAGTAGAGATAGATACAAATGAAACACTGACACCGACTAATTGATTTTCAGTGGAAGTCAGAATATCTCACTATTCAAAATGTGAAATGATGGCTTATCCTTAACCAACTTTTCATTCAACTCTGTGTTGGTGGGTTTTCGGATTCATTACATTTCACATTGATGTACCTTAATTCCACTGGCTCTTGTTCTGATCATATTTCATGGTTATGTGTCTCCATTTCTCCAGGTGTTGTCTGTCCCCCGCCTGGTACCCGGTAACAGCACGATGGTGGACTTTGACATCCTGAACCATGGCCCGGCCCGACTCTTCAGTCTGACTGCTGATGACGACTGTAAATATCTACATAAGAGAGGACCTCACAGGTAGAGCAAAAATAAAAGAAACGTAAATCTCCTCGCCAAGATTGGACTCTTATATTGCCATTTCATTTTGTATTGGTCATCACTGCTATCATAAAAATAGATCATGGAAAAGAGAATAGCAAAAATAAACGTTCATACATTTTGAGGACTGTTATAGTTAATTAGAATTTCTGTTCCTCAGCTTCCATGTTGCACAACAAGGGTCTTTCCGCGGTCAGGTGGACCTCCACACCCCTGCCACGGCTCAGGCAGGAGCTACCGTCACCCTCACACTCACCGTGCGCGCTCTGGACTCCCCAGACTCAAATTACGCAGTGGCTTACTTAACTGTGATCCCTCTGGTGAGCATCAACTAAAAAATAATATCACATTCTTTGATTGGAGCTTTATGATTTTATCCAGAAGTCTCCTGTATTTTTTTTGTACATACACAGTATTCAATTATCTTAAACTATGTACATTCGATTGTCTCTGTATTGCTGTTTTATATTAGGTTTATTTGCACAATTTAAAATGCAAAAATATAACAAAGATAAGAAATGATGTGTAGAGGACATCAAGGGACAGGACAGCCACTGGACCATTTGAAGCCTCCTCCTAAAATAAAAAATCAACACAAACTATACAGACAATAATATGACTTACGGGTTAAAGGTGTTGCAATGGTTTTGCACAATTTAATAATACACACAACAGATAACAAATAACAACAGTGCAGGAAGAGGCAAAAAATGTACTTAAAGCTTCTCCCTAAAAAATAATTTAAATCAGAATTGTATATTCATGATGTATTGCTACTACTGGATCAAGACATAATAAAAAAACAAATAACTTCCTTATTTCTCCCTGCAGGATCCGGACACGTCCCCTCCCTCCTGCTCCGCGGCACGAGTACAGTCCACCTGTCCCTCCACCTGCACTGAGTCCAGCTGGAGTGTTTCTCTGGTGGTCTCAGACAGGGGGCGCTCCGGCCTGGCCACCCTCCAGCTGCAGAAGGGTGAAGGCGTTCTGACTTTATTCCACAGCCCCCCACCCACAGAGGAGAGCCTGGAGGGGACCCAGCAACCGGCATACAAGGATACAACAACCATTGAAGGCCATCATCACCACAAAGCCAGATTACAGAGAGGAGACCCCCCTCTGAATGTTACTGATTGGGTACCGGGTTTGTCTCAGCCTCTGTGGGCGAGGTACTCGTCCAGCTGCTGCTCCCCTAAAGCTGAGCTGCTGGTTTGGGACACAGCTGGAAACATGAAGCGATGCCGCCTAACATCTGGCCAGCAGACACAGATGAGAGACAGGAGAACAGAGAGCAGCGGAGCCAGAAGGATTACACTCACCAGCGTCTCCGTCCTGGTAGGGGGTCTGCTGGGGTCTACTTTGTGAAGTCCATGGGATTACAGATGTTTTGCAGGTCAAACTAATCTGCGTGTTGATCACTGGAAAAGAGATGTAAAAAAAAGAGATACAAAAGAACAGAGGTAAAACTCGAACAAAACTAATTTAGAATTGAAATAAATGCACTTAAAACAAAAAACTGTCCTTGTTGGTTGGTGATAATGTGATTGCTACTGTAATTTGTGAAGAAGTTGCACTGAATAAAGAATAAATCATTTCATATGTACTGTCACAAACTTGAATTATTTGCGATTACAATACCTGATATCATGCAATATACAATGCTCAATAAGTAAATAATTACTTTTTCAGGAAGGAAATTGTGCAATTCTGATGGAAATAATAAATACAAATAGGTTTAAAGCAACGTTGCAAATTGTCATAAGTAGACATAATTAGTTTAAAGTGGGACTGTAGGGGTCTGATACACACATCCATATTAATGTGTCTTAACATTAATGTCACTGATTTTTTTTTAACCTATTTCTTTTGTCTAAATTAATTATTATTCTATACATATCCTCATACATTCCTCATACATTCCATATCCTGCTTCATTTCGGACCGCAAAGATGATATAAGATGCTTAAGTATTTTATTATTTTAACTTGACCGAGGCAACATCATTAATTGAGTCTGATACTTGTGATTTTTTGAGACACAACATTTACAGAAGTCTTGACAAAGGGTTTACATTGCTAACAGTAGCTGCTTATACTAAGGGATGTTGTTCTTACACAGACCTAATGTACAATCCATAAAAAAGTCAACAGATCTGAAAACCTAGGATCAGAGTTGTGCAACTTAAATTTCAATGAGACATTCATCAAACATACAAGAACATGTTGATAAAACAACCCGCTGCGCTTCAGTTCAAAAAGGATTTTCCCTTCCTACAGAAAACTTCAGAATCGCGACGCATCTGAAAAAAACTTGAGGTATCATTTATTAACATTACTTCTCTATGTAAATAGTTGTTTGTTTAAAGATTGAAAATCATTCTCAGCCTTGAGTGAATCCACATTTCTCCTGAGAACTGATTAACCTCTCAGGCAGTTGCTCATTATATGATACAGAATCTGCGGTGAATATAAAGGCAGAGAAGACCTGGACACAAGGGAATGGGACGATTGGGTTCAGACTGAGCTTTCACAATGACTTTGGATATGACGAATAAAAAGATTTCAACAAGAAACAAGCAAGTTGAGGAGAGAGGACACTGGGGCAGTAAGGTGGAGTTTCTCCTGGCTGTGGCGGGAAATGTTGTCGGCCTGGGCAACGTGTGGAGGTTTCCCTACCTCTGCTACAAAAATGGAGGAGGTAAGCAAATACGAGGCTAACTACTTGTAACTATAATCTGTAGTACAGGCGAACTGTTGTATACTTTGCACATTTAGGTGCCTTCCTGGTGCCATATCTGGTTTTTGTGGTGACCTGTGGAGTTCCCCTGTTTCTGCTGGAGACCACTATAGGCCAGTACACCCAGGAGGGGGGCATCACCTGCTGGAGGAAGTTGTGCCCACTGGCAGAAGGTATGCTATTTGGGACTTTTGTGTAGATTAAATATTCACTGAAAAAAGTGGAAGAAGTAGCTGGTACTTTTGCTGTTTTATTTTGGTAGTCACACAAAGGAGGGTTCAAACACAACTTAAAAGACCAATTTTCCCTCAGAGCTCCGTAGACAAACATTGACCACCTTTCAGTATGTCCTCTGTGAAAAATATTAATATTTAAACGAGAGGTGGGAAATCTTTTAGTTCTGTTGCTGAATGTTTATTTCAATGAAAAGAGTTAGGGATTTGTGTTGGTCCTAAACTAGCTGTGAGAGTTCTCATTCATAACACTCCGTTCGATGTCTCACTATGGGATGCGCCTCATCGCGGAGCAAACAGAAGCATCAATCTCATTACGCCAATCCTGATTGGCTGGAGATCTTGACGTCAGCGTCAGGGAAATCACCCCCTATAAGTAGCTTGCGCCACAACGCATGCGCCATTCAAACACCTCTTCTCGCTTCAGAGCACATCTCTATAGTAGCCGGACAAGCTTAACGGTCCACAGACTGAACCCAAATATAACCATTTCGGTCGACGGGCGCTCGCCGGCTACTCCTTCTGCTTCGCAAGAAGACGGTAATACTAACGCCAGTTAGTATTAAAATCGACCTCGCCGTTCTTTCCCCGGAAAGTAAGGTAAGGTTTTGATTTTTCTCAAGCTAGCTACGCACCTGTTGCTAGCTAGCTTCCCCTTACTACCGACACCACGGTAGCGAGGACGCTTTTCTTTTTCTCTCTCACGGAGGAGAAAAGGATTAGAAGTATATTGACACCAGTCAATATTCTTTGAGAACAAAGGACCCACACCGTCCCTTTTTCTCCGGATTAAGGACGGGTTGGTAACACTTTTTCTCTCAACGACGTACCTGTTACGAGCGGGTCCTCTCCATGCCACGAGGCGAACAAGATGGACGCCTCTCCCCCTCACACCAGAGGAGTCAGGGACTCGGAGGCTCGGTCAAGCGGCTGCGGGTTGAAGATAGCAGGCACAGACTCACACCAGGTCTGCTCGTCCTGCCTCGGGCTGGAACACGCCCAGGAGGCTATCGACAACCCCGGCTCGTGCGGGCATTGTGCCCGTTTCACCCGAAAGAGCCTCCACCGACGGCTAGCACACCAAGCTAGCTTGTTGGAACAGGACTCCCTCATGTCCACTGATTCGCCGTTTGGCAATCAAGACACGGGGGCGTCCGCCGCAGAGACTGAGCCCCTCACTGTGTCGGTCTGGGGCTCACTAACAGCGGCAGCTGCGGAACCGGGATCCCACGCCGTTCAGGCCGGGACCCGGTGGCGGCAAAAGACGCGGGAACGGAGCCCCACACCTCACCAGGCGGGAGCTCCCGGCGAGACCTCACCATGGTCTCGCCCGCAGAGGCTCGGCCTGCTCCGCATACCGCCGATGGAACTGCTGGTGGCAGCCCACCTCCCACCGAGGATGGGTCACCAAGCAGGAACCCCACGCTGCCAGCGAAGGTGGACCGTTTCCAGTCGACCATGACTGAACGGTCCTACAGAGCCGCAGCGTTGTCCGCCAGGGCTCTGAACGTTGTTCAGGATGTGCTTGACATGCCCATCGTTCCCGAGGGGATTTTCGGCTCCGCTCTTGCCTCCATGCAGAGGAGAAGCGAGTCGAAAAAGAAGGAGGACGAGGCCCTCCACCTCTGCCTCCCTCGAAGGGCCCAGCCGCTGCCTTCGCAGCGGCAGCCCTTCGTCCAAGCTGCTCCGAACCCTGCTCGGTTCAAAATACCGAAAACGCAGAGGTCGCAGTCCGCCCCGAGTCCCCAGCCCAGGCAGGGGACGAGGGCGAGCTGGCCTAGAAAATCTCCGGTTCCGGCTGCAGCCCAGGCGCAGCCAACCCAGAATTTCGGCCAGCAGTCGAGGAAGAAGAAGCGAGCGGCGTGACAGCCCCTCCTTCTCCCCTCTGTGACAGAGCTGGAAGTCTACGGTTCCCCAGCTCTAAATGTGTTCCCGCCGCCTCGAGAGATGCCTCAACACCATCCTCAAGTCCGCGTAAACACATGTCACACACTTATTGATTTTTCTGTCACAAATCATTTTCCGCTGACGCATCCAGGCTTCGAGCCAAGGGCGCAGCTCGGAAAAATGAAAAGAAAAAACAATAAACAGCCCGTCAACTGTTCCCCTTCTGAGAGCAGCTACGGCATCTCTCAAAAGGCGGATTACAGGCGGGTCTGTGAAGGCACCACCGTCACGCGCATGCGCAGTGCCGGCTGGGGTTTTTAAAAGCACCACCGCCACGCGCATGCGCAGTGCCGGCTGGGGTTGTGAAGGCACCACCGTCATGCGCATGCGCAGTGTCGGTGGGGATTGTCGAAAGGGGGCACCACTGTGTTCAGACACTAGAGGGCCCCATAACACAACAAATAGAGACTCAGAGGGGAAGAGAAGTGACATCTCCACTGGCTCTAAGGAGCATGCAGTGGAAGATGCTCACATCATCTGCCTGGGTTTTCAAGACAGTAACACGGGGCTACAGACTCCAATTCGCTGTCACCCCCCCTCGCTTCTCGGGCATTCTGCATTCGCAGGCCCGAGGAGAGTCAGCCCATATTCTGGAGAAAGAGATTCTCTCTCTCCTAGAAAAGAGGGCTATATCTATAGTACCCGCCGAGCAGAGTCAGGGCGGCTTCTATTCCAAGTACTTCCTCGTTCCCAAACGGGGAGGGAACGGAATTCGGCCAATACTTGATTTGAGGGCTCTGAACAAATATCTAAGAAGATATAAGTTCAGAATGCTCACTCACACATCTCTGCTGCGGCTCGTGCGACAAGACGACTGGTTCACATCAGTCGACCTGAAAGATGCGTATTTTCACATCCCAGTATATTACCCATACAGGAAATATCTGAGATTCGCATTTCAGGGGATCTGTTATGAATACAGAGTACTCCCCTTCGGTCTGTCTCTCAGTCCAAGGGTGTTTGTACGATGTACGGAAGCCGCGATAGCCCCGTTAAGACAACAGGGTATTCGCCTGGCGACCTACCTGGACGACTGGCTGCTTCTCGCACAGTCGGAGCAGGAGGCTGTTACGCAGACGAATGTCCTCGTAAAGCACCTGCTCAACCTGGGTTTCATAATAAACACAGAGAAGAGCATGTTGTGCCCCGCGCAGACTATACTCTTCCTGGGTTTACGCCTGAACTCGGTGCCCTTTTCAGCTCGCTTGTCAGCGGAAAGAGTGAAAGCTTTCAGAGCTTGTCTCGCTCTTTTCCAGCTGCGCAAACATGTTCTCTTCAGATCATGCCTGCGATTGCTGGGGCTCATGGCGTCAGCCATCCTGGTGATGGTTACTGTGAAATGCGTAATGGCACTGCGCCACTGGCTGCACCCGACTTTTCTAGTACGAGGTGTGCCTATGGGTGCTGTCCTTTCACGGAAAGTGGTCACCACGGACGCATGTCTGACAGGTTGGGGAGGTATTTATGAAGGTCGCCCGGTGAGGGGTCTCTGGAGCAGAGACCTCCAGCGGGCACACATAAATTACCTGGAGCTTTTAGCGGTGTTTCTCACCCTAAAACGCTTTCTGCCTTTCCTCAGGGGACATCACGTCCTCGTGAGGACAGACAATACGACCACGATATCGTATATTAACCGCCAAGGGGGTTTGCGTTCTCTCCAGTTACACACACTGGCGCGCAAACTTATCCTATG